TATGTGCGGTAATGGAGCGCGCACATAAGATATGGGCATTGGAATTCCATACTTCGGGGAGAAATTAAGAAATAGGTTCACAATCTTTAGTTGTAAGGAATATTTTTAATTTTCCTTAGAAAATTTTACCATTCGACGTGGAAAGGGAACAAGATACTTTGGAATGTTTTCCAGGGGGGGCTAACACAACTGGGTTTTAACAATCGAGGGTTACACCTGGTATTTTCCCATCTAGGAATTGACTAAAGAGGTATTCCCTTGAAAAAAAGGGGGGCCACTTGCAATAAAAATTATCCGATTCCAAAGTGAAAAGGAGAAAGACCTTTAATTCTCCTAATGTGGTAAGCCTCCAGAAGCGAATAAGTGTGTGTGCGTGATATACCTATGTTAAATATCTTAAGGCGGATTATTCAGTTAAAATTAGCCGGAGTTATGATGAAATTTTTGTTAAGGTTAAATCAATCAATACAATGCATTAGTAACTGATTGATTTTCGGCCAAAACCTTCAATGAATGAACTCATTCACACTTATATATATATAAGTGTGTGTTCAAGTGTAATAGTTTATTGATCTTGATATTCTTATTTTATTCTGAGGACTTGAATTGAATTTTAGAAATATATTTAAAAGTGACAAGCCTGTAATTTGCATTGCACAGTTAAATACAACATATACATATACATATACATATAAAAACACTTAAAATGAGCTCAGCAGTATCAACTATATCAAAAACCTTAAAGTTCAATCCAACTTCTGATAAGATAATTACTCTAGGTGCAGGTTGTTTCTGGGGTACTGAACATATGTATAGAAAATATTTGAATGATAAAATAATTGATTGTAAAGTTGGTTATGCTAATGGTGACAACAGTTTAAAGGATAATTCTGATTCAATTTCATATAAGAGAGTCTGTAAAGGTGATACAAACTTTGTTGAAGTTATCCAAATTTCTTACAGTCCAGAAGTCACCACTTTAAAGGAATTGGTTGATTTCTTCTTTAGAATACATGACCCAACTACAGTAAATTCTCAAGGCCCTGATCAAGGTACCCAATACAAGAGTGCTATATATACTCATTCAGGGGAAGATTTAATTGAAGCTAAAAAGTTAAAAGATGCATGGGAACCAAAATGGAACAATCAAATCAAAACCGTCGTGGAACCAATAACCATCTTCTATGACGCTGAAGAATATCATCAATTATATTTGGACAAAAACCCAGAAGGTTACAGTTGTCCAACTCACTACTTGAGAGATTTATAAGCTCTTTCAATCATATCATAAATATTACATTAAACAAGTTATATAATCATCATTTTATATCATTGAATATATCATTGTATTAACATTATAAAAAAGGCGAACACCTCCATTCCAAAACTATCCTAATATTTTAAGTGTTATATCTATAAATTTTCCTCTGTACAGTACAATTGTATTAAATTGAATATTTAATATTTTATTTACATCTTGATATTATGTCCTATATCGTTATCTATTTTAAAGTTTCCAAATCCTTCAGTAAACTTTTGTCTCTTTTGAAGTTAACAAGAGAAACCCCTAATCCAGCAAATATTAACAATGAATATGTACTCTTTAATAGTATAAAAATCGGGTCACTTCCTTCAGATCCTCCTTTACCTCTAGGTCCCCAGGACCCAAATGACAGATAATAAGCGGCCTTGGTTTCATCATTAGTCATGGTCTTCCAATCATCTTCCATTTTCCAAACCAAGTATTCCTTAATCTCTTCCTTCAATAAAGGACTCATAGTCTTGGTGTTCCATTGTTTAGTCACTTGGGATAGATCTGGAGGTGTATACTCAGTCCCTAACTCATCTGGATATTCATACTTGCTAGTAATATTAACATTCGAAATTGATCGTTTCAAAATTTCATTCAAACGGAATAATCCAACTCCAACCTGGAATCTACTTACCAGCATCCTAATCTTCACACGATTATAGTCAAACCAACTTGAATCCCAACCTAAACACCTATACTTTCAACTTCATCTCCTTTCATCTCATCTCTCTTTTAAATCAGAGCATTAAAATTTCAAATGCTATTACTTTTTTGATATTCGCATGTTATAACATTAATAAAATTGATATATTTAATATAAGGAAACCATCATAAAATAGTTCAACAGTTAACCATTCCTTCTTGAAATAAAAGGAGTACATCGAACTATAAGGGTTTGAAAACTTGTGTTGATCGCATAGACAAAGCTATTTAATATGAGTTATGAACAGTTATATGTAATGTAGAATTTTTTTGCAATTATAGGTTCAATTTGTTTGAAACAATTGAAGGAATAAAATGGCAGTTTCACATTAATTATTATTACTAACAATTTTATAAGTCTGTGCTCTATTCTGGATTAATTTGATTAATTGCACTAGTTTTAATTGTGGTTGCAATTATCAAATTTTTGAAGAGTTTAGAACAAATTATATGACTTGGTACTTTTATTTTAGAATGAATACACCTTAAGCAGAGCTTTTGAACCTGTTTTCGCTTTGGAATCTCAGCCAACAATGGCAATTGTTGCTAGTTTGATATCTTTAGTATTGGTTTCATTATCTATTCTTGTAATGAAGTCTAAGAATCATTCTATTGTTGTTAAATTTATAATCTTCTCGATTATCAGTGCAATTGCTTCTTTATTCTGTGGTATAACAACAGTATTCACAACAAACTCATTTGGTGTCTATGTTTGATTTAGTACATGTGGTATTGCAGAATGAAACGGATAAACAAGAGGTATATTGTGCTGGTATTACTTAATTATTCACGAACCTGACGTATAAAAGTTGATTAAATGGTTAAATTCTGTTGGTTGATAGTTATTTACTTCCTACATAATATGTAAATTAAATTAAAATAAATTTTAAGTTCGAAAAGCACTTCATTTGAGTCACATAAAGTTCAATAAATCTTCATCTAGATTAACAGCTCTGTAGTACATATAAGATTTACCATCGACTGAGCCACCTTTGGAATTATCATTCATCATTGTTTCTAACATTGCCCTTGTGTACCTAATGATATTTTCTAAGTTAGTTTCGTTGTTTTTCTTCATATACTTTAGTATAGCAGAATTTGTCAATTGAAATAAACGATCATTCAAGAATTCAACTGTCAGATATTTTGTCAATTCTGATGGAGCATCTTTTACAGGATCTTCATATGCCAATAAGCTAGACACATCGTTAAATCTCGTTTTGAAAACATTTTTCACACTTTCAGATACATTGTCATTAAATATAAATTCTGCTGACAATTGTTGCCCAAGTTGAATTGTGTTTTCTATTCGTGTATCTTTGCAGTTCAAAATACTATACAAAAACTCAGCTAACTTAAGCTCAAAGTATAATTCTATATTCGAAGCTAAAAGTTCAGGATATTCATTGTTCAAATATAGAAGACACTTTGTTATGTTTCCTTCCGCAATTAACCTTCTTATTGCTTGTCTCTTCTTTAAGTTATTCTCTTCCTTAATAATTTGACTTTCATTATATCTAGTAACTTCACGGTTCCTGTCCACTTCTTCCTGTGTCTCTTGATCAATTACAGTCTCATCTTTAAGATCTTTTAGAAATGCGTTGGCAACATCTATTAAACCTTCTTGAATCAAATAATCATTCACAATTGTTTTAACAGATGTTTGTAAAGAACTATCATCTGTTTTTAGCTTATTAAATATTAGAGAAGATGGTTTCCTTAAAATACCATTAACAAGTCTATCATCTTTGAAGCTAAAGTTTGGAATATTATCCTCCCCAGATCCATTATAATCTCTTAAGGTGGTCCTGTTTTGTGATCCTACAGATTCTTCATTGTTCTCGTCCACAGAAGATGTAAATGTGTTACCACCTTTTCCTGATACTGCGACACTTGATTCTGTTTCCAACTCGTGATTTTCATTATAGCCATCAGCATCTCTAGCCGAACAATAGTTTTTAAAAATATAAGAATAACTTTCCAACCTCCATCTTTCTAGGTAACCTACAATATCAAAAACGTATTCTTCATATAGCCCAAAATTGGTTCCAATTGAATTTCCTGGTCTTAATGCAATGAATGGAACTAAATCAAGATTGCCAATATCCCAATATGCCTCCCCTAAATAGACACCATTTTTAGTGAAAAACACAGTTCCTTGGATGTAATTAACACCACAACCTATTACATCATCACGTCCAAATGGTTTTGAATATGAACCTTCATCCTCATTATCAAAAATCTTACCATTAAAACCACAGTATAAATAAAGTTCATTACTTAAATCGGTCGCATCTGATGTTGAAGCATCATTACCTGATCTAATACTTCCACTACGACCTGATCCTCTGGTGACAGATGTATCTCCTGAATTTCTGGCAGAAATACCATCGTCACCAGACTGAGAATGATGGGGTGCAGAACTAGAACCTTCGCTGTCCTTATCATTCCAACATTTAAATCCAACCATAACATCGCTACTATAAGCGCCTTGTGAGCTGGTTACGCTTAAAACTCTTACTTCATAGTAAAAGATACCAGCTCTATTGGAATAAACAGGACGGTTAGCGGTACTTACTGCGTAATCACATTTTGAGTCTTTTAATAAATCTTTAAAATAGTTTCTGGCAATTATCACAGCATTATCATGACCAGAGAACGCTGGCCAATTTAAGTTTGGGCTCAATTGAGAAAATCCATCGCTTGATAAATTGATTGAATTATTCTGTTGAGTACGCCATTGACTTGGTAAAGGATAACCCAATAATTCATAGATATCTTGTGAAATAACATTATTTTTTGACTTTGATGTGACCCTATGAGCTGAAAGAGCTGGGTAGTAACTAACTGGTTCAGATTCAGAACCTCTAGAAGATACCCGATCGGTTTCACTTCCTGCACGTTGACGAATCCTTGTGCTAGTGTCTTCCCTGTTTGGTATTATTATATTATCAGAGTCTTCATCATTTACACTACTGCCAGCAGTTTCTATAACATTCATAACATCATCATTGTCAATATCCATTGCATCATTTTCTTCTTCCTCTTCCTCTTCTCCTTCTTCTTCTTCTTCTTCCTCGTCATCGTCCTCTTCTTCCTCATTTGTACTGGTGACTCGTTCATCTTCTGAATCATCGTCTTCACTCTCATCAGATCTAAACCGAATACTTCTAATACTTTCTTGATCAACAATTCCTGACTCTAATCTGGTTTGTTTTGAAAATTCTTCTAAAACATCATTCTTAACAGTATTAAAATTAGAAGAAGAGTTATTTGAAGGATTTAAAGGTAAATCAGCACCAATTGAAACACTTAATGAATTGATCAATGAGTCAGGATAGAAATATTTATAAACTTGTATTAAATATTCATCATTGGCCCAATCAAAAGGTACAGTACCTAACACCCCTAAATCCATTAATTTTTTCCAAATTTCTTTCCTAGTATTATGAGATAATTTAATAGGATGATTAAAGCCACCTTCCTTCAAAGCACCTTCCTCACCACCTTGAGCACGATTCTTAATCTCATGTTGCTTGACTTTTGAGAATAACCTTTTATTCTTGAGATATATCAACCATAAATCTTGTCCAATTGGTTGTTCCAACAAATATTGAGGGAAAATACTTTGAACAAAAATCTGATTAAGTTCATCACCATAAACAGACATTGTTCAACTTTGTTATAACAAGAATATAGTTCCTAAATCCAGTAACCTAAACCTCTACCAACAACTCTTGGATGTCCCTTTTGTTATAAACTAAATCCCTTTGCTAATACTCTTGATTTTATCATTGCTCTTTTATATATCAAATTTCCCCGGAAGTATCAAATTTAAAGGTTTAAATGCTGATTTTAAGTATGGGTTCACAGCGTGTGGATTAAAGATGGTTTTAAGTATGGTAAACACTATGGAAAACCAATCTACAATATCTTAATGAAGTTTCATCTGTAGATATAATGATTGGTTAACCACGAATTGAAAGTTTTTTGTAAAACCGTTGAAGATTCATTTTGCGACTATTTAATTTATACAAATTGTATATACAAACGTGGAAACAAACCAAAGTTTCCATAAAGGATATAAAATATAATGATAATGAAATGAATTGCAAAAAATAATAGATAAATGCAAACATATGCTTTGAATTATAGTATTTTGAGTCGTTAGTTATAATTGACATGACTTAACCGTTGAGAATTAAATCATTGAAAAAAATGTTAACAGCTGATAAAAGAATAGGAAATATTTAACGAGAAAAATGACTTCTGATCTAGTATCTGTAGTGGTCAGCCTTGAATGGACCTTCCTTTGGAATAGCCAAGTATTCGGATTGAGCACCAGTCAAGGTAGTCAACTTAACACCCAATTTGTCCAAATGGAACTTGGCAACAGCTTCATCCAAAATCTTTGGTAAAACGTGAACACCAATGTCAAATGGACCAGTCTTTTCAAATTCGACGTACTTTTCTCTGAAAGCCTTGTCATCAGCCTTGAACAAAGCAATTTGAGCCAAGACTTGGTTAGAGAAAGAACAGGACATGACGAAAGAGGAGTGACCAGTAGCACAACCCAAGTTAACTAATCTACCGTTAGCTAACAAGATGATGTGTCTACCAGAGTTCAACAAGTATCTGTCAACTTGTGGTTTAATGTTGACACATTCCTTAGCGTTAGCCTTCAACCAAGCAACATCAATTTCGATATCGAAGTGACCAATGTTACAGACGATAGCATCTTCTGGCATTTGTTCGAAATGAGCACCGTTGATGATATCTCTACAACCGGTGGTGGTAACGAAAACTTGACCGATGGAGGCAACTTCATCCATGGTAGCAACTTGGTAACCTTCCATAGCGGCTTGCAAAGCGTTAATTGGATCGATTTCAGTGACGATGACACGGGAACCCATACCTCTTAAAGCAGCAGCACAACCTTTACCGACATCACCGTAACCAGCAACGACGGAGACCTTACCAGCCAACATGACATCGGTGGCTCTCTTAATACCATCGATTAAAGATTCTCTACAACCGTACAAGTTGTCGAATTTAGATTTGGTAACAGAGTCGTTAACGTTGATGGCTGGGACCTTCAACTTACCTTCTCTGACCATTCTGTACAAGTGGTGGACACCGGTGGTGGTTTCTTCAGATAAACCGAAACAACCTTCTAGCATATCTGGGTATTTGTCATGGACAAAAGTGGTCAAATCACCACCATCATCTAAGATCAAGTTCAATTTTTGGTTATCCTTGAAGGCAAACAATTGTTGTTCGATACACCACATGTATTCTTCTTCGGTTTCACCCTTCCAAGCAAAGACTGGGACACCAGAAGCAGCAATAGCAGCAGCAGCATGATCTTGGGTAGAGTAAATGTTACAAGAAGTCCAAGTGACTTCAGCACCCAAATCAACCAAAGTTTCAATCAAAACAGCGGTTTGGATGGTCATGTGCAAACAACCGGCAATTCTAGCACCTTGTAATGGTTTAGATTCAGCATAAGCCTTTCTGATAGCCATTAAACCTGGCATTTCATGTTCAGCCAATTCGATTTCTTTTCTACCAAAGGCAGCTAAAGAGATATCAGCAACTTTGTAATTTTCAGCTGGAGCAGACATTGTAATATACTTCTTCTGTTTGAGTCCTAATTAAAATTGGATTGGTTCTCTAAAAGGAAACAATTTTAAACTGTGAAATAGAAGATTAACTTAATTTTTAAAGAAAGTACAACTACAATTTAATAAAAGTATACATATATATATGTATATAAAGTGGAAATGAAAATGAAAATGAAAATAACAAGTGAGAAAAGAAAGTAAAATGGAATTATTAATAATCTTCGAAGAAAAAAAGTTAAAAAAAAAAATTTTTATTATTTTTTTTTTCTTTCCTTCAGTTAACAATCATTCAAATCGATGGATATCACCAGTTAGTTAAATTTCAAACAAACCACATTAAACAATTCCATCTCTAGCAATCGTTTAAAGGCCCATCCATTCGATCTTGGAATCTCTCTCTCTCTATCGCTCTTCTCTGATTCAGTTCCAGCTCTGGTTCTGGTTCTGGTTCTGGTTCTTATAAGATATCTTGTAAAGGTGAAACTTTGGCATCCATCTGTCTGTCAGTTTGTCTGTTTCTTTTTAGCTTGTGTGTGCTGGTGCTGTGAGAGTAGAGTGCTGTGTGCAAAAAAGAAGAAAACTTTTTCTCGAAAATTTAGGTGGCATTTTCTTTTTCCAGTCAGAAACGTTAGCAGGGGCAGACCAAGAAATGACGAAAAAAGCCTGTTTGTGGAACGGCAGAAAAGTGGAAAAACATCGATCTTGATGTGAACATGGCAAGAATCAGTCCAAGAAAGGCAACCAGGACGAACTGTTCTTTGATAGAAGGTAACCAACCAGTTTAACTGAACCTTTATTACATTACATTATGTTATATTAACAAATTAACCTTGTTGGTTCAGAACTTAAGTAGGACAGCAATGAATTTAACAAAATATGGTCAAAAGAAATAAAAAAAGAAAAAAAAAGGTTGCTCATAATCATGTTGGATTAACTTCGATTGGTTTTATCATAGTGTTCATTGCTAGTGTATATGCATAAATGTGCACATTTGCTTGTTCTTATTTTGGGGATGGCGTTTGTTGGTGGTACTGAGACTGTGGGACATATGATTCGAACGTTTCTTCTTCTCAGATTTATTCTCAGATTTCTTTCCTTTTTCTATGTTTTGTCCGGTACTTTTCCTATTTCGTAAGCATGTGTATGGTTCAGTTCAGATGTAGCACGTGAACTGAATGTGAATGTGATTGAGATTGAGATTGAGATTCATTTCTAGATTGGATTAGATATTAGTGCCAGTAGAGATGAGAATATACGTAATTTGATGCGTCTATCCATCTAGGACAGAATTTTATTACCTTGAAAACCAATACAAATGGGTTGAACAGGTAATATGAATTGGTATAGTAACAGTCTTAAGGTTCAGTTTGTTTCAATCATAAATCTAAATGTAGGCGTTAAAAATATTTTACATCTTGGTTTATTTTATTAGTATGGTTGTTATTAGTAGTATTAGTATGGTTACTAGTAGTAGTATTAGTATAATCATGCTTTATTAATAGGACAAAGGAAAAGTTAAAGTTAAAGAAAAAAGAGTCAGTTACAGTGAAACTATGGAAACTAATTAGGGTAATAGATTTATTGTTGCTGTTGTGGCGGTGGTGGTGAGCCCATTTGTTTTCTAGCTTCTTCTTGTTTTCTAACTTCTTCCTGCTTTCTGGCTTCTTCCTGCTTTCTGGCTTCTTCCTGCTTTCTGGCTTCTTCCTGCTTTCTAGCTTCTTCCTGCTTTCTAGCTTCTTCCTGCTTTCTAGCTTTTTCTTGTATCTCCTTTTCTAACAACTTTTCAGCTTCTTCCTCTTCCTTTTGTAAGCTCTTGATACGCTCCTCTTGCTCACTTTGAATACGTTCATTCTCCATTCTCTGCAAAATTATCTTTTGGTTATGTTCTTCTTCTTCACGTTTCTCACGTTCATCAAACAATAAGTTAGCTTTGGCTCTTAAAACCAAAAGATATTCGTTAGACTCCTTAGTAATGTTATTCAATTCATTTTGAACATTTGCCAAGAATTGGTTCAATGGAGTGACTTTAATATGATGCTCTACCAAGTTATCTCTAATACTAATAACTTTCTTTTTTAGTTTCAAGAAGTTTCTCCAATACTCTTGAGATGAGTCTTCATCAGATTCGGAATCATAATGGGCTGCTACTACTTCGATGTATGCCATTCTTTTAGACCATTCACTAATCATAATATCACCCCATTCTTCATATAATTCTACATGATGTTCGTGAATTTCTTGAATGTTTTTGTCAAGCTCATCGATTGTATTAGTTAAATTGGTGCTAATGTTATTTTCTAATGCTTGAAATTTGGACTCAATTTCTTTGAACAAGGATGAAATAAATGGTCTAGTGATATATTGGGATAATTGCGTTTCGCCATTTTTGGCAAAATAAATAACTTCGCCTGTTTCTCCATCCACCTCTGAAGTACAATCAATATCTTCAATATTTTTAACTAATTTATTGAATTGCAAGTGAATCTCCTTTCTGAAATGGTTTATTTTTTCATTCAATTCGAGTTCCCAAGGTTCAATTTTCTCGTTTAAATAATCTTCAACTTCTTGATCCAAGAATTTGCAAGCTTTAGAGGATTTGGTGTCCACTAATTTAAACCAAGCATTAAACTCGTCTTGTGCTAACTCCCATTCGGATAGCTCGGGAGTAGTTTGAATTTCATCAGCTGTGTTATCTGTTTTTTTGTTATCTATTAAATGAGATCCAGAAACTTCTTCTACTTTAGTATCGATAGAATGACTTGCAGGTGATGGAACTAATGTTTCTTCCGTGCTTGTAGAAGTGTATAGGGTGCTAGTTAAAGTTTTGACATTTTTATGAATATCTTGCTTCATTTCATCAAATTGACCCTTCAAGTTGTCATGTAAAGAGTTGAATTTTACCTTAATATTTTTAATATAATTTTCAGTTTTCTCATGCAATAATTTTATCCAATCGTGGTACTTAACAGAATGGTTTTTCCAATAATGACAATGTGATTCTTTGAAAACCAAAAATTCTTCTGCTACCCTGGCGACATATTTATTGTTTAAGGTATTGTTTACATGTTCTTCCAAATATAACTTGTAGTATAAATTAGACTTTTCTCTAGCAATTAAACAGTAAGGTTTAATATAAAGATTATAATTTTCTGTGGCAACTGGGTTAATCACGGTTTTATAATATTCATTATGTTCAATTAAATAATCATTCCAATAGTTAGCATTTGAGTACTGGCAGAAATTTCGCAGACAAGTACAATTTGATTCGTCCAATGCATAATCTGCATTACAATGCAAGTAGCGTAAAGTGTAAATGAAAACCGTTAAGGTTAACAAAAATCTTTTGAAAAATCTCATCTTGGTTGAAATCGTAAAATTGTGGAAGGCTCCAAAATTTTAATTAGGACTCTAGATAAAGATAAGTTGTTCACGGATAATCCTGTTTCAAATTAATATCTCTGAATCGATCAATCAATCAAATAAATTAAACCACTTTAAGGTATCAACAGAGAAATTCGATCTGATTAACCGTATCAGTAATTATATTATAACGACGACCAAAAAAAACAAAATAAATACAAAAACACTTTTATAAATTATGCTCTTGTGATTAAATGAGAAGGTTTCCTTGCTGATTCCATTCGATGATAACAGATGAAATATAAACAATTCAAAGGAAATTTCTGATATCAACCACTTGCTGTTTTGCCAGTTCTGTCAGCTTCATCATCGGAATTTTCACTTTGTTCTGTTGATACAAAATAAAAAATGGTACTGTTTGCAAAACGCCTGCAGGAGAGAGGCCTAAAGTTCCAGCATCGCAATGATAGAAAATAATAGATTTATGCATATGAGTATTTTTACCCGGATTCAGGATCTAGTTGACCACATATATAAGGGACAGTATAGCGGTTATTCCAGTGTATAAAGAGACAATACTATATTTAAAGAGTATTAGCTCTTTAAATCATCCAACTAAAAAATACTACATCAACAGTAGTGTATCTTGAAATCCCATTCTTCATTCAGAGGGGGAAGCTTCTAACTTGGTATTCTTCTCAACGTTCATGATTTTCAATAGCAACATACTTCAACTCATCTTAAAAGAAGGAGGACTTGTATATCCAAATACTGTAAAACAAAGACATTCCAAAGTTTCAGTTCAATCCTTAAACTTAAATTCTATGGCACAGTTTAGTATACAGTCATAAACAACACCTAGTGCTTGGTAGTCAATCTCAAAAGTGTTGGATTATAAATAGGAAAACGTATTGGAATCAAATACTCTGTTCCTTTTATATTAACGGTATGGAATAGGGGAAGGGGGAGGGGTGGAAATATAGAACTGAGGATTAAAACAGTGAAACGAAGATTATTTGTTGAACAATCTAATCTAACTCATGGTGGCTGGGTCTCGATGTGTGTGGTTTAGGGTTATACCTTATAGTATAGTGTTGTTTTTTGTCAATGATACCTTTATACCTTTATACATTTATAAATAGTCAAAAGATCTGCTGGAAGGAAGTCACCAGATCACAAAAAAACATTTAGCCGCCGTTAAAGCATCGCTATATACGGTATCCTTAACCTAAACTTATCAACAGAATATTTAAAACTAGTTATAAAGATATGTTACCTACCAATTGATGTCATTTAACACAGGCAACCAGAATTGATTCCAAGTTACAAGAAACTGGACACGTTCATGGACCTCAAAAGAAGTGGATATGCGTTGATATGACTGATATATATGTGTGACTCCTCCCTCTCATTCTTTTCTCCTAACTCAACCTGTATCTGTTGCCATTATACATCTTTTTATATGCTGTCACTAACAAGAACTCTCAGGTTTGACTCAAAACAAGATAGATATATAGATATACCTATATCTATACATCAGCTGGAGTTATACGGTACTACTAAGGAAATTACAAAGTGCTATTGAGGTCGATTTGTTTGGTTTACTTTTGAATTTATTTGAGGTTACCTAGGGCTACATCAAACTATGTTGTTTGTCCCTGACACACAGACTTAATCAAAATACTATACATATATATCCCCCTTCAATTTGGTTTTGCTACTTTCTGAACTGATTAATCAATCACACCTCATCTCCTTATAATTGCGGTTAGAAAGACGATGAGTTATATATATATTGTCCAAGGGGACACTATTATTATTTCTTTTGTGCAATTCAGGTTTCACATATACACTTAGAACTCCCTTTCCCTATTTGATTTTTCTGTGAAAGTTCTGTTTTTGGTTCTTAAGCATTTTATGTTCTCATATCTGATCAATGGTTATTAATTGAACTGTTGTTACTTACGTATCACATTATTTTTTTTTTTAGGTTGATTGATCTCGTAATATTAGTCAGTTCTACGAAGATTATTTTAAAAAGGTTTATTGATAATATCCAATCAACTCTTACTGAGCGAAAAAATTTAGTTTGGAACTTTTTTTTTTTTTGGAAAGAAGCACTCATTATTAAGAAATAGTTAACTATTAACTGTCCTGATTCAAGTACAATTAATTTTATTGATTGAACTAATCGTGGTAAATTTAAGGAAAAGGATATCCGTCGACTAAAATATCTCGTTACCCTTCTTTTTCAAACTTTGTTGGCAGCGATTAATTTATTTATTAATAAGACTAATTGATTATTATCATATTTAAAAATTACCATTGTTATAATTGCACAAGGTGAGTTCATCGAAGTTTTTAACGAGTGATAAGTTATCAAGTTGTATCGATTGATATATCAGTTGTGATTTTGAGTTGGGATATTCCCTGATATTTGCAATTATAACTGATCGTGGTTGTTTTTTTTAACATTGTCTCCACCATACTTTTTTTTTTCTGCCTAGAAGTTCATTATATTAAATTATTATTAATAAAAGACGCATAAAATTGAACAATATAAACACATTGTGTTTCTATATTAAAGAGCATAAAGTCAAATTAACAGTTATTAGAAATCTGATACCATATTTTGGGGGGACCACACATATTGATAAGTTTGTTTGTTTGTTTTTTTAACAACTTATCTTCCTACCGAATAATAGATTGCATTATTGATATAGCATTCAGCTTTCTTCTATACTGAGTTAGGTTTTGGAAAAAAAATTAGAAATTACAGAAATAGTTCCTTAAATTAAGAGAAAACTATATTCAAAACCTTACCTTCGTTTTATTTAAAGATTTGCAACATTAAAGATAATATTTCCCAATAATATAAGCATATACAATGTCATTTTGGCCATTTGGGCAAAATTTAAGTCATTCTAATATTAATAAAATATTAGAAGAATATATTCAAGTCCTGCATCGTGATGATAATGATAACAAGCATAATGAAGAAAATGTACGAATAGATGAAATTAACAAAAAAACAAGCGACTTCGCTGAAGATAACATAGATCCAATTGATTCTAATCCTGTAAATGATACATATAGGGACTCTGTGCCTATTAAAAAATCAAACGCTATTAACTCAAATGAAGATAATGTTCAAAACAAAGAGGACACTCTAATACCACAGCATTTGGCAGAACGAAAACTGGATAGTTATTTTATCGACACTATATTAGATGATCCAGAATTGTTAAATGAGTTGATGAGACAAAACAGCTCCTTATTGGACTTTATTTGTTTGGGTTATTTTTATGATTACAATTGCGATAATGACAATAATAGTATTTCATACAATGATATTGATGTTAGTAATGAAAGTAACGAAATTAAGAGTAATAACAGTAACGATAATGATTATGATGAACATATTTCAAACAAGAAAAAACCTAAATTCCTTAAAATGATTCATAACTTAGAATATTTGATTGATATTTTAATGGACAGTATTGATAAAATCATCCTTGATGATGAAACTAATGAGAGTGAGATTGATATTAGTAACGAAACTGTTATTGGAAATGACTCTCTAAATGAAGATTTGAAGGAAGATAATGATAAGGATAATTATGATAATAGTTCTTTGAACAATGTTCCAGGCCAATTAAATGATGAAAATAATGACGATTTCCATTTAAATAGGGCAAACGTAATATCTGATATCTTTTCATTAGATATCTGGATAATTACAGAATCATTGGTTAAAAATCAAAAATATCTAAATAAAATATGGGCTGTACTGAAAAACAAGAATTTTAAGTATGAAAAATCACCATTAATTCCAATATTCTTAAAGATAAATCAAAATCTGTTATTGACAAGACAAGATCAGTATTTAAATTTTATTAGATCACTTCCTACATTTGTAGATGACATGCTTGAACATATTACTATTACAGTGATGATGGATTTCTTCCTAAAATGTATCTCAACCGATAATCTGGAAGCACCAACAGGAATAATTGAAGTTGTACGTGATCAAGCATTGATATCAAAGACATTAGCATTTTTTGACAACGAGAACTATAGCGCAGACTTCCAGGCGTGTACTTGTGATTTCCTAAAGGCATTGATTGCAATTTCTGCAAATGCTCCACTTGATGACATGTCAATTGGTCCAAACTCTTTGACAAGAGAATTGGCATCTCAAGAATCTATTATGAAGTTTGTGGAAATTATAGTAAGTCAAAGAGGATCTGCATTGAATAACATAGTTTCGATTGTAATAGAATTGATTCGAAAAAATAACTCTGATTATGATACTATCAATCTTTTAAATACAACAATTCAAGATTTTCCACCTTCTAATAGAGACCCTATTTATCTGGGGTATCTCTTGAGACAGTTTTCTTTAAATCTTAAAGATATTTTAGAGATTATAGTAGATTCGGATGATCAAAGTACATATCTCAATCAATTAGGACAGTCATTCAAACCTTTAGGTTTTGAAAAATTTAAAATAGTTGAGTTGATAGCTGAACTATTACATTGTTCAAATATGGCTTTAATGAATTCTAAAAAAGTAGAAAAAATTGCTAGATCTAGAGATCACTTTAGACATCAACTTACAAATCAACTTCAAGATGCGTTACAAGATCTAACTATTTCTAGTTCTGTTGAAACAAACAATGATAATCTAGGTGACTCTGTAAATAAAATTAAATCCATTTCTAGTGATGATGAAATGAACTCAGAAAGTTCAAATCAAATGGAGAGTGAAGAAGAGCTTGATGAATCATTTGAGATTCCATATGTTAACGAAAATCAAAATTTAAAACTGAGAAACAATCCAACTGTAGGTGATCTATTCAAAATCAGTTTACATGACACTCAAATTTTACCTATTATCATTGATCTCTTCTTATCACATCCATGGAACAACTTTTGGCACAATGTTATCTTCGATATTATTCAACAGATTTTTAATGGTAGAATGGACTTTTCTTACAATTCATTTCTAGTCTATTCTCTATTCGATTCGGTTGGAGCTAGAAATTTTATGGATTTGGAAAATGGTAAGAATCCTTCCCTAACCGATAAACCAATGAAGATTACTAATGACTTCATTTTAAGAGGTTATAAAGATTCGTATGATTTCTACGAAGAAAATCGTATGAGTTTAGGGTATATGGGTCATTTGGTCCTTATTGCAGAGGAAGTGGTTAAATTTTCAAAGTTATATAAAATTGAGTTGATATCCCCAGGTATATATGATACCATTCAAGAAGATGCCTGGAAATTTTATTCTGATGAAATCCTACATAGTACAAGAATAATGTATTCCAAAATTTTAGGTGGCGGTAATTATGTCGATGATGGTAACGGTAACATTATCCCACAATTACCAGATCCTCAGCCACAAGATATTGATGGAGATATGGAAACTTCTTCGGTTTCTTGTAGTGAAGAAGGGTTTGATGAGAATGGTGAAGATGGTAAATTGATTAATTCTGAGTCTGCGGATGAACCATTAAGGTTTTTCACAGAATTGGATTTACATGATAAACTTAAATCGTTATGGAATCACATTAATGGAGACACAAATACATTGAATGATGAGCGGATACCTGAATCGATTGAAGATGATTCTACTGATAAAGCTGAAATAAGTGACGATAATATTGCTCCTATGGCGGTTAGTTGTGATTCAGGATAATTAAAATTAATGTCTTTACTGTTGTCATTGAAATTTTCGTGTAAGCAATATTATTTTGGAGTTGGATATTTTTGAAGAATGGAATACGTATTATACTTAGATAGTATATAATGTTAGATAGATTTAAATATATATATATATATAAATGCTGGATGTATGACATTTTAACAAAGTTACAAATCTTTCTTCTCTTCCTTATCATCTCTTATTTCGTATATTTTAGGTTCCTTCTTTGGCTTTGGTGATTGCTTAGATGATTTCTTTCCTAGTTTGTTACCAGATTGTTTTGTATCATTTTTATTGAAAACTCTACCTAGTGTTACATTCCAAGTCCAAATTGGTAGTCTAAAGAACATGCAATCATAAATGGTAGGTTCGGCTAAAGTATTTGTCGATATCAAGGTATGTGTTCCATCTTCTTCTATTAATGACACTTCACCAAACTTGATCAAAAATTCTTTACCTGGATCTTCAGCATGTTGTTTAAACATAACTCTTCTTTCACCCAAACCATTAGTATCATCTTGTTCTCTACAAGTTTTAATGAAGTTTTCGATACGTTTCTTACTGCTATTGTGTTGAATCCATAAAATAGAATAATGTATTAGACTTGAAGCCAGGTAAATGAAGGATAGTATGAACCAGGTCTTTGGCTGAATTCTTTTAAAGAAGAAACCACCTTTACTGAAATCATAATCTGGGAAGCCGTTTTTCAAGTAATAATCATAGGTCTTTCTACGAGTGTCATCGGATAAAATTGTAGTAGCAATGTTTAAACGTTCATATAATTTAGCATATTTCTTATTCTTATCAGGATGATATTTTTTGGACAATTTTTTAAGGTTCTTGACAATTTCTTTTGAAGTTGAATCCTTCAATTTTGGCAATTTTAAAAACTTATAGAAATTCATATCTTCACCATATTTTTTGATCAGTTCCTGTTGCAACTGAAAGATTTCTACTTCACCAGTGGTAAAACAGTAACCAATTGATACCAGCAAAAGTGTCACTAGGATAAATTGCGGAACCCTTAGCATCGTTATCAATAATTTGAAAAGAAGATTGTCTATACTCTTGGACACTTGACTAAATTTCTAAACTTTTATAAACTCAATATTCGAAGGTACCTCCTGGATAACCCAATCTTAAAGAGATTTAAGCTTCTACGTACACTGTAGATCGTCTTAGAATATCACAAAATGTATCAATAGCAACTCAATTGATACTAATCCTAAATACAAATCAACAACAGTCTGTTAATTGTTTCGAAACAGTTTAAATACACATTTCAGTTCGAGATATCAAAATTTAATTATGACGTCAACAAGAAAGAAGCCTTCGAAATGGATCAAATATTTAAAACTCGAACCTATTTAAGAAGGCAAACCCATCTAGATCTTGAGAATTGGATTATAAGATCAGTGGAAGGGTATTCTGTAGGATATAATTGATAAGGATTGTTGGTTGTTAGTATTATGGAGGCTAAAGCTGTTAATAAAGGGAAATTTATCCATAGGTTGTATCAATATTATCACATATGTACGACTTTTCTATTTTGTACATTATTAGCAAGATGGCTAATATTGATGCCGTTAGTTGGGTCAAGGTATCTTCCAGGAGCTGTTCATGAACTGTTGATTTATCTACTTGGTATTTCAAGTTTGATTGAATTGTTTTGGAGATTTTATTTCCATGGTTTGAAGAATGGATTCATGTCATTAACGACCTTAAAGGACGTTAATTTTTTGTATTTTGTAAGAGTTATGCATTTTTATGATGATTATGAGTATGAATTGGTACTCAAGAATACAACTTATTCAAGTTTTATTATCGGGCTATCTTTTACACAAGCTTATTGTCATTGGAACAATCTATTTAAAAGACAAAAAAGCTCATATGGTATACGTTCGATATATTGGAAAATTAATACTTGGATCATGATGCCAACTTTATATTTAAGTGAATTCTATTTACTTTTATTGAACAATCGTAATCCAAACTTCCATTCCACACCTTTATTGGATAAAATCAATAAATGTGCTTTGGTAGTATTCATTCCAATATCATTAATTGCATTGAAGAAACATATTTCAAAGATTTAATTATAAGTATATTTTAGTATATTGATATGTATTAATGTTAGTTATTATTGTAAAAATTCAGCAAATTCATTGGATATCTCGAGAGCAAATTGTTCTCTTTCATCTTCATCTTCAATTTCAAGATACTTCAATCTTGCTTCTTTTAATCTATTGAAGACTGATTCCAAATCTACATCAGTTGAATCAGCTTTAGCCTCTACCGTTTGCACTCTATGGCCACCACTCCATTCACAGGTATCAATAATCTCTCGTACTCTTTCAAAGCCTATTTTTTCATTGTATTGGTTTAATTTCAGATTACTGACGTTATGATAGTTAATAATTTCAACGCTATTACCACTATCAGAAGTTAGTTGCATCGAATTATCATCATTTAACTCATCGATAACATCTTGGGATATATCCTTATTCGTATTCATGAATACAAAAAATTTATCCTGAAGAACAGACCCTAGTTGTCCCAGAAGCTTATTTTGATCGATCTTATCCTTTTCCATGGTATAGCTATCAATTACTATTATTCCTGATAGAACTTCTCTTAAATCATCGTATTCTGAACTGATCAAGTCTTTACACCATTCTTCGAAATCATCAAAGGTGTCAACGTATAGATCATATCTCACCTCATAGTATTTAGTTGACCAGGTTAAACCCTTTATTATATTCTCATCATGATTTGTATTAGCTTTATCTAATCGAAAGACTTCACCTAATACAGATTCTTTTAAATTGGCTATTTGATCATTATCTTGAAATGCAATCAAAATCTTATTGCAAACAGAACCATCCTCATTCATCTTAATGTGATATTATACCTTGTCAAAGTTTCTCTAAACGATATATGACTTAAAACCTTCACCGAGCTTTAACGTTGACTGATGTGATTATTTGCTATTATCTTTTTAAAGTATCACCCACTGCTCAAGCAATGACTACCTGATGGGAAGGAGGAAATAACAAACCTTGTAAAGAAGATAAAAGCAAAAAAATTAAAATAGAATGCAAGTAACAGAGAATGCATAGAATGCTGAATATACCCCTACCCTTAACTCCATCGATATCGATATCGATTTCTTAAACGTATTTAAACGGCAAGCCTCTATCTAATTATAAATATCTATCTTGAAAGTCGATTCGAAGCATACTCCACCCTCCTTAATCAGTGAAAACAACAACAAAGACTACAACATGTATCAATCAGACAATGATATTGAACTAGCTGTCATATATGTAGACTGTGACACTTTTACAAAACAAGAAACATTACCAAAGGATAAAGAGAATTATGACATCGAAACTATAACTAGTAAAGAACTAACAACAGAAAACAGAACCTCGAGTTTAAAACAGTCAATAAGATGCTTGCTATTCTGGAAACTAAACAGAACAGACTGGAAATCAATAGCTATTGTACTAACAATGTTAAATATCTTACAATTGATAATATTCTTCATATGTTTCTCGATATTCTTTAAGGATAAAAACAGTAAAGATAACGATATACAACAATTCTTAGACTCAATACCTGATAGAGTAGTGGATTACAAGACATTATACGATCAATCGATCCCATGAACCCCAGAATACTCCTCATCATGTCTGTTTAACATCAAGAAGGTCACTTCTTATTAATATGTATTACTTTAAATATCATCGAAATTTTTCAATTAGATATCAATATTTAAAAATGAACCATGTTTGACCTTTAACAAGCATACAATTGAGATAAAGAGGGTGTTGTTCTTGCTGGTTTGGTGAGTAAAGTTGCTGTGAGAGGTCGAATATATATGAGAATGGATGAACCTTATGAATGGGCCACGAATCTAGTTGATTCTGGTTATATACAGAATTTGCCTGTTGAATCTTCGAATACGTTATCCGCACCAATAGGGTTCAAAGTGGTGGGGAGAGGCAAAGGTGAAGAATCTGGTAGTAATTCTTCAAATGGTGTCGATGATGCTCAATTGGTAGAGTTCCAAATGCAAAAGGCTTGGCAGATTGCTACTCAGCCTGCGAAATCACTACCGATGAATTTTTTTATGTCTTATATGTCTGGTACATCTTTGCAAATAATTCCTATAATGACAGCATTAATGCTTCTATCTGGTCCAATCAAGGCTATATTCTCTGTTAACAAAGTGTTTCAACCTATTTTGAATAATGGTAATCGTGGTGTAACTTCAAAGGATATCTTGGGTCCAATGGCGATGTTCGTTGTATTTCAATTTGCCTTAATGGGTATTGGTATTCATAAATTGAATTCGATGGGTTTATTTCCAACCACTGAGAGTGACTGGCTATCGTGGAAGTCTCCTCTAAACGTTACCGATTCCGTCAAGGCATTTGCATTCTGATATTCATTTATCAAATATTTATATGTTCTTATACTATATATTATACAAAGTTTATCTGCTTATTTCATTCTTAGTTTGCCTTCAGTACATATATATAAATTGTGTGTAAATGCGCAAAAGAATGTGGTTAGCATGGCCTTAACTGAATACACCAGTTTATCACCATTGCTTTCTTCATTTTTTTTATTTCTTGTCGTCTTTATCTTTAAATTTTTGTTCATATATTTGCTGAACGTTAAACTTTCTATACTTGGTGGTATAGCTTCCATCAACAACGGATGCACCAATATTATTCTTAAAACATTCGATTAGAACTAATTTGTCATAGTTTTTCAAATCTACCTCATGTTCGTACTTACCGTCTTGTATAACTTCTTTAACCACAGTAGTGATCAGATCCATACGCTCTATGGTATTGAAATTACGTCTGGTAACATCAACTGCAAACTTCAACTTCTTGGTGGCATTTTCACCTTCATGGAAATGAGGTGTTAGAATACGTTTCAACAATAGTATAAACTGATCCATTGTAGCATTGCATGAATATGTAATCGGTGTCAATTTCAAGACATAACGAGTTCTCTTCTCTAAACTGCTTGGGTCGGCTAGATCTTTAATTATCTTCGAAACAAATTCCTCTGGTACAATTGGTTTACGAGTTTTACAGAACACAACACATTCACAATTTAAATCAATGAAGTTCAAAGGATCTTTCCTTTTAATAATGGAGCCATCTTTATTAACTTTAGAATCTTTGCTTTGAATGTCAGCAAGTTCCTGTTTGATTTGATCTTCAATTGATAATTCTTCCTTCTTCTTTTCTATACCTTCATCATCTTCATCAATTTCAGTCTCGTTCAATTCCTTTAATTCTTTTGAATACAACTCTGTCATCTTTTCTTCAAAAAGCAAGCCTAATTCTTGGATTGCTTGCTTCTCATGTCTTCTCGAACATGTTGCATATATACCTGATGTACCTGGATCTATAAACCCAGAAGCTACCTTATACTATATATAATTTTATTAAACAATTAAGTTAGTAAACATGTATGGGCAATCAGTTGAACGATTTCAAATATGATTGATTAATTAATTAATTAAAATATTGATTTCAAGTCACATACTTTCTTCTTCTGTTGCTGGTTTCCACTCTTACCACCTTCATGAGAACGTTTCTTTCCAGACATCTCCCTATATACAACAATACTCTTGCTCAGTTAGATTTCAGAATTGACTAGCACTGACTAATATTCGATCTTTTTAACATTCCTTCTCTTATTAAGTTGGTTACTTTTTAAGATGTGATAAATTTGATGATTTAGCGATGCCTTACTAAATTTTCACTTTCTCTGCTAGAATATCTTAAATCTAAAGAATCATGCAATAGATTAAAGGAAATAGATGATTGTGACGACGATATTTATATTGGTAGTGTCTATTAAATGGTCTCTACATTCGTAGTTTTCTCAACAATCATATAATTAAATTCAGATCGTTAAGAGTCTCTCTCTATTTAATATTACCTTACTTATTTATCTAAATGCAATTATACAGTCGTTATGTTCGATTGAAAAACTTTGCAATTCTACGACCATTCAAAGCTTCTCTAGGACTAGAACTTCCATGTGAACTGCTGCTCGTATTTGGAGAACTGATGATTGGTGGAGGTGCTTGTACTTTCTTCAACAATTGAGTAGCATCTTCAGGTCTAATACGGGCATATTTTCTCATTCTTATTTCTGGATCAGAATATTCTTCAAAACTACCAGATTTTAATAAATCAATACATTGATTTAAATCAGTAAATGTTGCTTCCAATGATTTGATATTATTTTCAATTAATGAGGAAGATGGGGACGAAAAATTTGTTTGAGAGACTGGTGTTTGAGGAGGGTGTAAGCTATCTTCATAATCTTCATCCTCACTTGGAAATATCCTTGGGATTATTCTTTTCAAGTAATTCATGTCAACCTCAAAGTTCATTACACTCTCTTTTGTTATATGGTCAGGTGTTTCATTTAGTAACATTTCTAGGAATTTTGTTGTTAAAGAATCGAATTCCCTGAAAATTAATAGTGTTTGAACGCTATATGGAAGATTCATTAGAGTTGATGAAAACATCATTTCTAAGAACTGTGCTATATCTACAATTGAAAAATCAGGGTCGTCCCTTAGATCATTTGATTCCCAATCTAAGGATACGGTTTCCAAAATATCAGAAATCTTTGTATCTATCAGGGTTATCAATTTGCTTTCAGCATATTTCCTACTATCCTCATATTGTTTGATAGATGATAGTCTGATTTCAATATCTGGATTTTGCATTATATTTTCTCTCGCCATTAACTTACTAAATTCATTGGCTGCAATGATAAAATAATCTAAATTGATTAAAATTTGTGCAATCTCCTCCCTAGATGTGGTATCAAGTTTATCGCGTATTTTTTGATTCACGACATTATTGAATAGCGAATCAACCGTTTTCACCAATATAGAATTTAATCTGTGTAATTCATGGCGAAAATGATTGGAGATAAATGCAGTTAATTTTGAATAGGTTTTTTTAATCAAAGTACATGTCATTGGGTATAATGGGGAAAAGGGTAATGTTACAGAGAATTCGCTCAAATTTTGGTTATCACTTAGTACTTCATCATCCTCTTTCATCCAACATATCTTGATAACCTTCTCATATAATGAGCGATCCTGAATTGTTAATGGCATAAAATCATCATCGTTCAATAGAATTTCAAATTCACTTCTAAACGACTCGACAGCTAAGTGACAGTATTTTTCAAATACTGAAACTAGACAATTGTATAATGGTTCGGTATTCAAGGCATAGTTCTCTAGGATTGAAATGTAAATACACATGAAATCTTTAAACTCAACTAATTCTTCATCGGTATTTAAATTGTGATTAATGAATTGTTTTAAATATGGAATTAATCTATGCATTAAACCATCCCAGAATTCATTTGTTGCATTTAGATTATTGTTGACAATAATGTAATCAGTTTCTCTGTTCAAATTAATATCATACAATAAAAATCCTAAAATTTTCAAAAAATATTCTTTTAGAAATTCAACAGATATTTGTTGGGAAAATTCATCATTAATAGGATTATTGTTCAATGGATCGGCTGCTATACTATGTGGAGACTTCTTCCAACTTAGCGGATAAATTATCTTGTTTTTACGGAAGGCATACTCGTTTGTTAGCTCTGTAAATAGATAATCTAACTTATCTAAACTTTTAAAAATCAAAATCGAATCGTGGAACTCGTCCAGATGAAAAAATAATCTCAAATCTAACTTCTCTAATGTAGATTGTTCTCTCAAAGAAATTTCTATAGGAGAGTTAAAATTAAAATTACCCAATTTCATACTATCTCTCGTTTCTAACCATTTTGGCAATAATTCGTATCTGTAAACTTTAAAGAAACTATCGCCCACTTTAGATAAATTTTTCCCTAAATTCAAATTGAATGAGTTTCTAATCAAATTAATACATTCATCTTTAATGGATGATTTCAAAAATGGAATTGAGTCATATAGTTCTTTTAAGAATTGGAAATTATAATTTTTAAATTCTTGTAAATATATCTTTTCTAAATTATCCAAATTTTGTAATGCTTTGAAAAAATCTTTCTCAACTATCAATTCCTGACAATTATTAGCCAATTCTAAAATTCTTAAAACTTTGCTTATTACAATGGTCGTTTCTGAAATTTTTAATGAAGTTTTCTTATTATTTACATAAATTTGTTTCTTCCTTATAACATCGTTTGTGGATAAGGACAAATGTTCTTGAAGATCAACAATTTCTTTTGTTAAGGAACCTTCTATTATCCCCTGAATAGTGGAAATCTGGCCAATTGAGATTTTCATTTTATCATTAATCTGGGATTCTTGTAAGATCTGGTTTTCTAAACCTTGAAAGTTTTCATCGATCGAATTGTAAAGTTCATCAACAACTGGATTCAATTCATCCCTTTCTACAGCTTTTCTAATTAATGGAACCCACTTATCAAAAGTTTCGGTATCCAATTGAAATAAGTCTTCCTCTATTATCAAACCTCCATTTTCATTAGATGTCGATGTTTTATTTTTCTTATTGCCTTCAAGTCCACGTTTACTTGAAGAATTTGTATTCAATAGAAGTTTTTGAAACTCTTGAGTCAAAGCTGATTGAGACTCCAACTCCATAGTAATAATGTGAACAAATCAATATTATGTATAAAATTCAAATTTAAACACCAGATCAAATAACAATTAATTCAAGGCAATAAATAATATAATATTGAAATTTTTGTAAACCGCCTTTTTCAGTCAACTAAAACTTTATAAAAAGATACAACAAAACGAATTCCAACGATTATGAACACTCAATGCCAAAAGTTTGATCCTCTTTCCATTGACAATCCTAGATCAATCCTTCAACATCTAACTTAAATCTCTTGAAGGTCAAGTTTTATACCTGTATTCTTGATTTCTATTAAAGAGGGATAAATTGATATCTTATTCGAATAAAGGAACCTTCGGTAGGGTAACAGGGTAAGATAATAATTGTATATAATGAGTATATGCCAGCGTCATGAAATAACAAGCAATATACAAGATGGTCATTTTGGATGTATATTAAGACCTAATTACATTATCTTGCCTTTGAATTGTAGTTATCGTAGTAATAGATCGGTTTTTACTCTGAAGGAAAAGGTGATTCTGATAATTGTGAACTGTGACTAATACAAGAATATTAAATATTAGGTCTTTGATTCAAGAAATGAATTAACATAAGTTTTGATATAAAACCATTTTCTATGAACTAAAACATTTACCTCAAATGGAGGCTTTAGTTAATCTAAGCAATCCTGAAATTAGATCATTTCTAAAATTAAATATTTAAGAATTATAAATAGTTAAAATGTAATCATAAGTGAAATATATAAACATTAAAAGATGTGGGAAGGAATGATCAGTTTTCTGGGGATTCAGCATAGTAATGCAAGTAAGCGGCCATGGTCTTCATACCACCCATGAAGTTGCTGATGTCCAATTTTTCATTAATAGAGTGGGCACCATCATCACCTCTACCCATTGGCAATAACAAAACACTAGTCTTCAATTCTTCTTCGAATGTCAAAGTGATTGGAATAGAACCACCTTCTCTAGTGAAATCAGGATCGACACCATAGACATCCTTGGTAGCCTTAGCAGCGGCAGTAAAGGAAGCATTGTATGGATTAGAAACCCAATAGTTACCATCATGGATCAATTCAGCGTAACATTTGTTTGGAGAGTTCAAGGCTTTGAAGGCATTGTTACAGTGGTCAACAACCAATTTGGTCAATTTTTCAGAGTCAATATCTGGGACAGTTCTAATAGAAAATTTACCACTGACCTTAGCTGGAATGACGGTCTTGGCACCAGGACCGTAGAAGGCACCTTCAACACCGTGTAAGGATAAAGATGGATATCTCCATCTGTGCATTAAGATATCTTCCTTCTTTTGGTACAAACTAGTGTTAGAACCACTAGCAGCGTTTAAGTCATCGACACTGAAATCAATCTTTTCGTACAATTGAGATTCCTTTTCAGTCAATGGAGCAACCATTTCATCTACACCTTCGATCAAGATCTTACCGTTAGAGTCAACCAAAGTACCCATGACCTTAATCAAATCAACCATAGGTTCAGCAATGACACCACCAAAGACACCAGAGTGTAAATCAGCAGCTGGACCTTGGATAATAATTTGGTAGTAGTTACATCCTCTCAAACCGTAAGTCAAAACAGGCTTCTTAGTACCTAACCAATAGTTGTCAGAGATACAAACGGCATCAGTAGTTTTGAAATAGTTGGAAGCTTCTTCAGCAATCAATTTTTCCAAACCTAAAGAACCAGATTCTTCCATACCTTCGAAACAAGTAATCAAATTGACTGGGAAATCAATACCGGCTTCTTTATGAGCTTGAACAACGTTTAACCAACCCAATAATGGACCGGTATCATCAGTAGAACCTCTACCTCTCATCAATTGTTTTTCTTCATCAACAACTAACTTGAATGGTTCACTAGCCCAACCATCAGACAAAGCAGCAGGTTGAACATCATAGTGACCATAAACCAAGACAGTCTTCTTTGCAGGATCATTACCGTAACGAGATAAGATAACTGGTGGCAATTGTAAGTTTGGGTTTTCAACTGGAGGAGGTTGAGTACCTAATTTTTTAACTTGAATATCAGTAAAACCTAAACTTTCCAATTCTTGAACAAGATATTCAGATTTCTTGACCACCATTGGTCTCAATGATTCATCACCAGACACAGCTGGGATTTCAATAGCCTTAGCCAAACGATCAATGAAAGATGGTTTCAATTCATCAATCTTATTAAAAATTTTATCGAATTTTGGTTGTAAATTAGAAGATGACATTATTCTTGTTCTTTGATAATTACTCACACCTACACTAAAACTTCTCTTGAAAAACAATTTGAACAACATCAAACCATTGATAACAAATAGTTACAACTCATAATAACTCTCTTAACAACAATCATTAATTCTTAATCCATTCTTTATCGTAATCACCATTGTCGAATTGTTCTCATTAAATTAAAGCTTCAAATTTTTTTTCAGAAGTGAGCATTTAGATGAGGTGGGTACTATTCTCCACATTTGTTAATATCAAAAAATTTTGAATTCGAAACTTTAAAAACGAATATCAACTTTAGACAATGCAACAGATGAGGTTATAATATCAATGTTGGATAAGGGAATAGTCTATCGTTTGACAATTGGTGGGAGTTGTTGTAATAGTACATAAGTTGAAATACTTTCAATTACAATGGTATGTTTTAGTAAGAGAAAACCTGATAAGAATTAGGGATATTATGAAAACTTTGTTCTCTTTTTGATTTTTGGTATTAAATATTAGATATTAGAGATGATAATACTAACCGCTATCTATCTATCTATATATTATTTTGATTTGAATTGTTTAGTCTAGTGATAATGTTTTGACTCAAGTCGTGGCTGGTAGTGCTGCTGCTTTGTTTCAAACTACAGTAAGTTATCCTTTTGAATTTTTGAAAACAGGATTGCAATTGCATAGATCACTACCGGGTACTCAACCTTTTAACATGATGCATAATTTGACAACCTATTTTGCTGGCTGCTCAGCTGTCAATATTGGTGTATTACTGAAAACTGCAACTAGATTCACAACTTTCGAATATGCTTGCAATGTTTTGAGAGATCCTAACGCTCCTGAAAGTTCTCCAATTTCTGGTACCAGACTATTACTTGCAGGAGCTATTACAGGTTTTACTGAAAGTTTATTGATTATCCCATTTGAAAATATAAAAACAACTATGATTGAAAACGCATTGTTGATATCAGAAAGAGAGCAGAACAAACAACAACAACAGCAGCAGCAACAAAAACCTAATGAGATTAAGAAAAGGGCCACATTCCATAATGTGGAAACTGTTAAAATGCATCCAAGAGAAAAAGCATTTTATGCATATGAGAAAAACCCTTCGACTACACTTATAACTACAATCCGTGAAATATATACTACTAGAGGTTTTCGCGGTTATCTAAAGGGTACAGTACCGACTATATTTAGACAGGTTGGTAATTCTGTGGTTAGGTTCACTACCTATACTGCTTTGAAACAATTAATTTCACCTTCAGGTAAGTTAGATCAATACACTGCATTTGGCCTTGGCTTCGTATCTTCATGTGCGGTAGTTCTGGTCACACAACCTATTGATGTTATTAAAACAAGAATGCAAAGTAAATATGCTTGGAAATATTACAAAAATTCTTTAAATTGTGCTTATAGGATATTTGTTGAAGAAGGATTTCCTAAATTCTGGAAAGGTTGGGCACCAAGAATGTTTAAAGTGGGTTTGTCAGGTGGTATATCGTTTGGTGTTTATCAATACGTTGAAACGCTCATGAATACAATTCAAAGTGAAGGTTTTAACTGATATCTAAAACTCATCTGCCAAATATTCACTAAGTTAAATAATAAAAAAGTAGTACATGTATATATAATTTTACGTAATGCCTTTCAGGTTTAAATGAAATAAGAATTTCTACAGATAGAATCTTGCAACATAGTTGACTTCTTTTATAAAATGCATTTTATTACTTAATATTATTATACATGTATCACTAATGGCTATTTATATTCACATTCGAGTTTATTAATATAAACCAGTAGCATTTCTTACAATACAACCTGGTTCGTTTTCTTTACGTGGTACTAAGGAGCCAATTTCATAGACATCTTCGTTCTTGTCTTTTAATATTTCCTTAATTCTTGAAACATTTTCCTTTTTAACAATTAGTACCATACCAATACCCATGTTGAATGTCTTTAAAATGTCATCAACTGGGATATTACCAGCCTTCCCAAACCATTTGAAAACCTCTGGGACAGTCCATGTTGACATATCAACATCAGCTTGTAAGTGTCCTGGTAAAGCACGAGGAATATTTTCTACAAGACCACCACCAGTAATATGGGCTAGACCTAAAAGTAATTTTTCCTTAATAATTGGAAGTAGAGGTTTGACATATAATTTTGTAGGGACCAAAGTAGCTTCACCTAAAGTTTTAGAGGAATCCCAAGGACAAGTAGCACTCCACTCCAAACCTACATGCGAAATAATTCTTCTTACTAGAGAGAACCCATTAGAATGTAGCCCATCTGAGCTAACACCTAATAAAACGTTTCCTTCAGTCATATCATTTATTTTTGGTAAAATTTCACCCTTGTTTACAGCACCAACTGCAGTACCGTTGGTATCGTAATGACCAGGTGGGTACATACCCGGCATTTCTGATGTTTCACCACCTACTAAGGCGCAACCACTTCTTACACAGCCATCAGCAACACCTGAAACGAAATCAGAAGCAACTTTAATATCCAATGCACCAGTGGCAAAATAATCTAAAAATAGTAAAGGTTCAGCTCCTTGAACAACCAAATCATTTACGTTCATAGCAACTAAATCAATACCAACAGTATCGTGAATCCCAGTTTCTTGAGCAATAATTAGCTTAGTACCAACACCATCGGTAGCAGCGACTAACAGAGTATCTTCAGTATCATAGCCAGCTTGTTTTAAATCAAACAGACCACCAAATCCACCAATATCGGAATCAGCACCAGGTCTTCTAGTAGATTTTACCTTGGCTTTAATCTTTTCAACAAACAAGTTACCATTATCTACAGAGACACCCGCATCAGCGTAAGTAATTGAAGTAGCTTTGTGTTGTTCCTCATTCTTGAAGGCACGATGAGCAATGTCCTTTCTGTAGTACATACCATCGAACTTGATAGAATTAATACCTTCATATGCTTTATCTACGGAAGCTCTTAAGGATTGATCCACAGCAGAACAAGCAATAACTCTACCACCTGAAGTAACTAGTTTTCCGTTGTCCAATTTGGTACCTGCATGGAATACGTATGAATCCTTTGGCAATTTAGCAAAATCGACTGTAATTTCTTCACCTTTTTCGTATAATTCAGGGTATCCATCCGCGGCAACTACAACTGTTGTAGCGTAACGACCTTCTTTAATTTTGAAGTCTACAGAATCTAATCTATGTTCAGCTGCAGCTAGCAAAACTTGAGCCAAATCAGTATCGTCAGATAATAATGGTAATACAGTTTGAGTTTCAGGATCACCAAATCTTACGTTATATTCTAAAACTTTTGGGCCATCACTTGTTAAAATCACGCCAGTAAATAACATCCCAATGAATGGCAAACGATCTTTTCTCATACCATCAATACTTGGCTTGATAATGGTATCATTTATCTGTTTTAGTAATTTTGGTGTGGCAATTGGGGCAGGGGCATAAGCACCCATACCACCAGTGTTCAATCCAGTGTCATTTTCACCAATTCTCTTGTGATCTTGAGCCGGTGGAAAATTATAAAAAGTATAACCATCTGAAATAGTTAAAATAGAGATTTCATCACCTTCTAAGAATTCTTCTATAACGACTGAATCACCAGCTGTACCGAATTGTCTTTCAACCATAATTGTTTTCAAAGCTTCTTGGGCTTCTTTTTGAGTATTTGGGATCAAAACACCTTTACCAGCAGCAATACCATCAGCTTTCAGAACAATTTTATGATGTATTTCAGATAGATAATTCTTAGCATCTTCATAATTTGAAAAGTTGGCATAGCGAGCAGTTGGAATATTGTGCTTAAACATAAAATCCTTAGAGAAAGTCTTCGAACCTTCGAATATAGCAGCTTTTGAAGAAGGACCAAAAACCGGTATACCAATATTATTGAAAACATCGCTAATACCATCTACCAAAGGTTGTTCAGGACCTGGTACAACTAAACCAATTTTTTTTTCAATGGCAAACTGTTTCAAATTTTCAAAATCCTTAGCATCAGTTGAAAATTGCGGAACATTAATCACATTTCCATTAACTTGAGTGCCACCATTACCTGGGGCAACAAATATCTTATCAACCGATTTAGATTGAGAAAGTTTCCAAACTAAAGCATGCTCTCTACCACCATTACCTAAAACCAAAATATTCAATGACATTGTCCAACAAATAAAAAAAATAACCTTGAAAAAAGCACTAATCTAATAAAGTGCTATACCTATCAATCAATTATCCTATCGATTTTAAACCAATCAATAAATACAATCTAGTGTGATGCCTTATTTTGAATATGAACCCTTATCTTAAGACTAAGGAAAAAACTTCAAAATATAATAATCCTAACACCAGTCAAGCTTAGCTCACTACCCAACTATATTATATATTAGTATATCTTCTCGATAATCCAAAAACTAAAATTAAAACCAAAAGAAATCAAAACTATGAAATATCGAGACTCTTTTATACATCAACAGTGTCAATTCATTGGATGATTCAATAATTAAATAGTCGATATTTTTAATACTTTTAATATGAGCTTTGATTTATATGGGCAGAGTCAAAAGTGATGAAAATAAAAAAAAATTTCAATGAAGAAACTAAGCAGTTTGATTTCGAGATGAGATAGCCTTACTACCATGGTTAATAGTACCAGGGTATCGATATGCAATTGTTATTATTCCAATTCAGCGAGTAGGTGAAGTTTGTTAAAAATGCAAACCTTCCCATTGACTCTCTAGGTATTATAAATATATAGATACATATTTTGAAGTTCTCATTTTGGTGATGAGGATGGGAAGAAATATGATAAAAACTTGACGAACATTATTCGAATAGTGCAAGTTCGATTGAATTGATATCTTCTAATGGGAAGTATTGTGTGCATAGGTTGAACAATTCATCGTTTGTGCATTCTTGTGAAACTAGTTTATACTTTTGAAGTAAAATAATAATACTTTGTCTATCTAATGAGATCTTTCCAAACTCATCTGTCAATTCGTTGGATATTTCTTCTAGAAATGGCTCTGAGATCATTTCTAGATATTTCCAGGACTCATTAGTTAATTTGACATTATGCTCTGTTAAAAATGGTCGTATCATATCTCGTAATTGTAAGGGTTCTCTTTGATGCTGAGAGAACGTATCCAAATAATGTTGCTCTCTTCTATCGAGACTCATTGTATCCATATCTATGGAATGATCTGGTTGTCTCTCACGATTAGTTTCTAATTTTGCATTGGATCTAGCTTCGAGCTGTTCCATTTTATGCATCATCGATGGCTCTTCTTGGAAAGATATCTCTGGTTCTTGAATAGCAGATATTACCGGCGACATCGCTAAACTAGCCTCTTGATCTTCATTATTTTCATGAATTATTTCTGAGTCGTCTCCAAGCAACAGTGAGGGCTCCATCCCTACCGATTGTTCCTCTTCAGCTCCATTGTCCTTTATTATAAATGAAGAAAGTTTACGTTTCTTATAGTTGTATCGAATTGGCGCTAACTTAGAGAAAACAGTATCAGTTATTGATCCTGTTGGGATCACTGGTTGCTCATCCACAATACTTGTTTCCTTAATTGGTTCCGACTCATCTGTTATTATAGACATTGATTCAAGCTTCAAATCATCTTTGTCATCAGAAGTATCCACTACTTCAATTTGAGAAGCTAAAGCTACACTTAAATCACGTAAATAAGATCTCACCTCACCAGCATCGTTCCGTAATGGACTATAATTGATAAGTTCTACTTTGCTAATATTACCATTGTTTTCTCTCGTCAAAAGCTCATTCTTAATTCTTGCATACTCTTCACTTAATTCGAAATTTGTCTCTTCACTAAACCTATCATTTGGCACATCAGGTCTATCAGAATCACTCATAATGGTTGCAACAGTATCACTTCCTCTATATGTTTACTCATACTGTTAAACTGTTTAACATTTCCATCTCTTCTTGATCACTACATAGTATCTTTTAAGAATCAATGTAGTCGCGTTATCATAACAGCCTTTAATTAAATTAAGATATATAATCGATGGTCAACTACAATACAAGGCAATAATTATAAAGATGAGGTTTCAAATATTGAAATGAATTCATGTAATAAATGTGTGTATATATACCAGTCTATGTTAATCTATTGGTTATATACTATAAATTAAAATATTATTAGTTACTGATTAATTGATTTAATTTAAGTTGTATGTCATTTGGTAATTGTGGAATGATGGTGGAACTAAAGACGTTGTTAGACTGTATTAATTCTAATAAAGATTTAGAAACATATACTCTTACTCCATTTATCGGATCTACTTCTGGGGCAGGGTCATATGGTTTTTCTGGAATGCTGAATAATCTACTAAAACTGGAGCCAAAAGTTGAAATTTCTTCAATGTTATCAATATCAAAGAAATCACTCTTCATGTTTGCAATGCTTTCCGATGATGTACTTTCAACAATAGCAGCTAAAGTTTGTGGGACTAGGTTTGAATATTTATTCATGAACAAGTTACCCTTGATAATAATAGTTGCGCCTAACAAGGCAATCTTTCTATCGAAAAGGTTACCAATTTTAGGTAATGTAGTTACGACAAAATTGCCCCAAATTTGAGAAAACAATCCAACTTGAACTTCATCAATAAATTCGACAACAAAGTCGGATTCGTATTTAAAGGCTAAAAGACCAAATAATACAATTAATTTCTTGACAAATTTATCAGTTCTTGAATTCTGTAATCTCTGTAATATTAAGACCGCAATCTGCTTAATATACGGCTGCAAAATGTTAACATCGATTGTTAACATGATGCACTCTAGTAATTCAAAACCTTGCAAGTCATGAATCTTGGAAGCAATTAATCTTTGGAAAACACCCAAGACAGGTACTAAATCTGGGAAAATAGATGGATCAGTTTTAATAAATGCTTTCAATAATCTAGTAACAGCTGGAATATTACCCTTTAATTCCCAGACGGTTGGGGATAGAATTGGTTGTGCTAGTTGTTTGATGCTATCAGAAATGGTGCCGCTTCTTTCGATAGCAAATGCAATGATTTGGAAAATATATGGGATAAATTCCTGGATATCTTCCGATAGTATACTCAAATAGATTGGCATCATTGACTCAATTAGTTGCATTACCCCTGTAGAAGGACAGTTTCCGATAATTGAACCAATTGATTCAAAAGTGTAATGTGTAAATCTTGGATTAGAAGGATTCTTCGATATGATGTTAACGATAGTTATCAATTGTGAAATTAACTGAGGGAACATATTCTGAACAGTCTCCTCTGAAGTTTGAAGTACTCGGTAAATAGCCTTCATTAAAAATTCATTTTCAGCCAATTTTTCTGGTGTTGTCCCTTGTTTTGAAATTAAAGCAAAAAGATTTGATAATAAAATTTCTGAACTTCCTGCCAAGTCCGCCTTAGTGAACAACAATTTAGTAGAATTGATTGATTCTCTCATTGACAATATCCTTTCAATGACAATTGCAGCATATGTATATTCGATATATTCATCACTATTCAGTAATTTAGCCAATACTGGCATGATGTCGATTAATTGTTGTTTGCTTAATTGATTTCTGAATACGTACACATATTTAACAGCATCAACACGTAAAATTGGATGAGGCACATCATTTGTTAGATCAGGTGTAATTTCTCTATTGAAAAAATCGATAACATCTACAAGAGGGTTAGTAGCTGAGACACCAATGCTTGTTACACTCCCCTTTGCAGCAATAGCAGTGAAGAGATAAATACATAAATCTTTGTATTTCCAGTTTTCCTTTGGATTCATCCTATACTGTTCGAAGAATCCCTTCAAATGAGCTAGCAGGATATTTGTAATTAAAGGTTCATTTTTATCTTTCAATTCTTGTAGGAAATGGTTACAACCACTTCTTCTAGTTTCGGCATCAGCACCTTCCAAATCTCTTCTAATATATTCAATTGGGTCGTCTTCGAATAATTCGACATCTGCTTCACGTAACGTAATGTTAGGTAAGATAATTTGTTCGGTGATGTTATTCATAGCAGTTTCATTATTGAAAATTTCAAAATATTTTGGGATACGAGTAACAGCTGTTAAAAATGATAAAGATTTGGAGACTAAGATGTCATATTTTGGTTGAGTTGAAATTGAGGTTAATAAATTCCAAGTACTTTGAATAAACTCACTTAACATTGGACCAAACACATCCTCGTATCTTGTAGCATATAATTGTACTAACTCTTGAATTGAAGATTTGACTTTTGCCAATATACTTGCTTCATCTGTTTCATCAGGATCATCAACCAATGGGTTTGTATATTCTAGATACCCATGTAGGATACCCATACCTACGTTGATGTTGTCCTCAAAAAATTCTGGGATATCTTGACAATTCAAATCGTAATATAATTTAGTCAGCACTAACAATACATCGAATAACAAAGAGAGAGCGGCAGCATTGTTTCTATTTTCCTTAATTTTTTCATCGACAGTCTTCAAAAGGTTCAAAAATGGAATTGCGAATGTATCCAAAACCAATTTGATCTCCAAGAACAATTCATCTGACCTAAACAATGGTCTCCATCTTTTAAAAATAGAATGGGCCACAGTCAATACACCTTTATTTGTAACCATATCATCAGCAGACAATCTACTAGTCAAGTCATTTAATAAAGTTGGCCAATTGTTTGGGAAATCTGAATCTGCAATAATAGAGATAGCCTCACCAATCTGTACTTGTAAATTGTTAGGCAAAGTGATCATCAAGGGAACAATTTCCTTTTTAATCAGATCAACATTATTCAAGGGGATTAAATAATTACCATCTTCATCAACCCATTTGCGTCTAATAAAATTTTTGAAAAACAAAGCACCTGCCAACCTAGTAGAAATAGGTAAATTTGTAGATGCAACAACATGCAACAAAGTTAAACCAAACCCATCTTGATTCTCTAATTCTCTTAAACTTCTTTCTGCACTTTTAGCGGTAGACGCCACTACAGATTCTGATAGAATTTTACCAACTGTCTCTAAATCAGACATCCCCACATTCAATTAAAACAAAAGTAACTCAGATAACACCTTCCTGATCAATCCAGAGTAGTCACTTCCTAACCATTCCTCGACTGGAACCCATAAACTCTTCATTAATAGGTTTGTTTGTTATAATATCCCAAAGGTTATATATATAAAATTTTTCAACTTCATCAGTTGGAAGGGAACATTTTTCAAAACCGATTAAGGTTAAAGGCTAGTCACGTGTTACACAAGAACGTCACTATAAGACGACTTTGATCAGTGATGAAGTACTTGCTAGATGATGGTTTATCAGTATATGTATGTATATATATGTGTGTGTGTGTGGATGTGTATATATTTCTATATTTATTTATTGATCGTTTTATTCAGTAGTTTTATTGTTGTTGTTAGTTTTTTAAAGATTCAAGAAATGACTGAAATTGGATGGGATGATGACGACATGCTATAGTTAGTTAAAATGACAAAATATTTGTTATAGATGATACAATTGTGAGTTAGATGAGTAGGTCTGGGGCTGGGGCTTGCGGGAGGGGCAATGAGTGATATTGGTTGTGATATTTTGGCTCTACCGTAGTGAATACTCTGTAAATAGTTTGCTGTTTGTGTCGAAAGATTGAATCCATTCACTGGTTTCAACAGATGAGGTTTTCGATGGTGAATAGATACGTATCCCTCTTAAATGGGTATCTTTACCATTTTCATGATTAATTGGCAATACCAATCTTACAAATTGGCACTTCAACAAATTATCAGGGCTTCTATTGTCTTCAAACGTCAATGCTGCCCAACCGTTTATATTACGAATTTCAATATTTTTATAAAAAAGTGCATCTGCAGGACTGTGACCAACGTACATTTTAATCAATCTAGGTGTGTACGACTCATCTGCAATTAATGAAATGAATATTGCAATTAATGAAATATCCATTCTTTTACTGAAATAGATGCATAATTCATGGGGTTGGACACCATCACTTTGCCAAAAGGTTGACATATTATCATCCAAAACATTTTCAATTGGATTGCCTATCTTATACGATGACGGTTGCCAATGAGCCAAATGGCTGATGTTTGTCAAGTTATTCGAATTCAATAGTCTTATCCCCTGTGTATACCTCAACGCCAGGTTTTCCATTGTTAATGAGCTGTACTGAGCGTCCGTTTGAAACCCATTGATATAAAGGTTCTTTTTAGTATCATCAACAACAGTATCATCCAACACCAATCCAGCTTCTTTCTTAATCTTCACTGGTTGTAACACGTCACTTGGACACAACTTGTCTAATAGATCATCTATATCGATCTGTTTCATGGTTCTGATTCTTGCCTTCTCACTTGGATATAAAGCAGCAAAGTCTCTGGCAACACTACCACAGGGATAGGTCAATCAATCAATCAATCAATCAATCAATCAATCAATCAATCAATATATATAAATATATTTGTGTGTAGTTGGAATAGTCGTTATAACTCTAGTCAAACCCAATTAAAATCCTTACTCTTCTAGTCAATCGATATAAAACACCGTTTCCAAGTGTTTGATTATGTGGATGAGATGGGATGAGATGAGTTTCAATTATAGAATGGATGTGATGAAGACAGTATTGGAATAAAAGCAAATGATATTCTAGAGTGATAATGCTACTATTGGATACGTTGTTGTTGTTGTCATATGTGACTATATGTCCTTGTATACTTCAATCGCAACTCCGTATAAAGCTAGATATTCCTGCTAGATCGAATATTTAACCAAATTCAGTTTCAACGGTTAAACTAATTATTAAGCAAGGCTATTTTAAAAGTTTGAAAAGTAACAGTTGTGTGAAGGAGTTTCAGTCACTAGTCGGTTATTGAATTGACAAGAAGAACAAGAATCTATTACCCCTTCTCCCCCATATTTTTAAATAACAGATCATGTTTCGTAGTGGTAAAATTATATCTCCAAGGAATAATTTTTTTAATTTGATCAAGACCACCTACAGCAAAAGACCTTTACATGTCAAGACTGTATCCACACCTAATGAAAATGCATTGAAATTTATTTCAACAGATGGTGAATTGTTCCAAGATAGAGGCACCCATAGTTTAGAGATCAAGAATACAGATGATTCTCTAATTGAGCAATCGAAGTTTGCGCAAAGACTCTTTGTTCAATGTCCAGGGATTGAATCATTAATGATTGGTGATGATTTTGTTACTGTTAACAAAGATGAGATGATACATTGGAATCAGATCAAACCTAATGTATTAGAGATTTTATTACAACAGTTGTCATCTGGAGAATCCATAGTGACCCAGAAGTTCCATGAAATTAGTAAAGAGAGTGAGTCAGGGTACGATATACAGTTACCAAAATTTGAATTAAATGAGGACGAACAAGAGGTCAGTGATATGATCGATGAGTTGATTCAGACAAGGATTCGACCAGCTATCCAAGATGACGGTGGTGATATACAATATCGAGGATATGATCCAAAGACTGGTAAAGTGTATTTAAAACTGCAAGGTGCATGTAAATCGTGTTCATCGAGTGAGGATACATTGAAATATGGTATTGAATCAATGTTAAAACATTACGTTGAAGAAGTAGAAGAAGTGATTCAAATACTAGACCCTGAAGAACAGATTGCGATTAAAGAGTTCGAAAAACTTGAACAAAGAATAAATAATTCGAAAAAAGTGTAAAACTAAAATCAAGTTTAAACCATTTTATATCTCAATCTATATCCATTTCCCTTCCTCCTCCTCCCTCTGCCCCTCTCATCCCTTTTGTTTCGTGTAAATAAAAATATACATATACATATACATTTAAGTTTAAGTTTAAATTTAAATTTAAATCATTCAAACTAATCTTATTAATCAATTACATTTCCTCATGCCAACGACTCTATCTCTTCACATTCCCACATAACAGCATCTTCTTATCCTGAAACTATATCTTGTTGGTGATAGTGAACTTGTGCTAACCAGATCATCGAAGCTAGTTCAACTCAACCTCATCCTGATGAATATAATCCTTTTCGATATGATATGATATGATATGATATGATATGATATGATATGATATGATTGTGATTGTGATTGTGATTGTGATGATTGTGATGATTGTGAAGTGATGTGTTGTGATGTGTTGTGATCTCAAAGGATTGAAAAAGTTTTTCTTTAAAATTGCACATGCCAAAATGGAAAGTTGATATACTTCTTTTCTCTATAACGAACCAACCAACCAACCAACCCACCAATTCAATACAATCAATTAATATATAAAAAGAGATGTATAACCTGATTGGAATACTTTAACTAGATTTTTCCATATAGTTTTTTGGATTTGTTTGAAGAGGAAAGGTTTGTTTTGGGTAGCTTGTTAATCTTAACGATTGCAGTTTATCACTTTATCAGTTTGACAACCCCATTGGTTTGTAATGGATTATTTGAAAAAGGGTATTAGAATTCCAACTTGGTTTACGTTTTAATTTAATTTAATTTAATTTAGTTTAATTTAGTAATATTTGCATTTGTATTTGCAGTGATTTATATACATTAAGGCCTTTTTGTTTGATATTTATAGGCATATAACATTATATCTGGTGTGTTCCAAACTAAATTTCTTTAGTTTGTATTATACAAGATAAAAAAAAAAATTAAAAATCGACATATAAGAAGGAAAGTAACCAACAGAGGTTGATTGAAATTAGAGTTAAACTGGTGGGAAAGTTAGTGCCTTGGGACTGAATATTAGGGTTATTTTCAACTAGAGATTGGTTTCTTGTGTTTTATGATGTTTCCTAACGTTGCAGAGGCCAGATTTTCTGAGGAAGAGGTTAAAGCTGCAGAACTTTTAGATGTTTTAAGAAACTCTACTGATAGATTGTTAAAGGCTAATAGTAATGCTGTTACTGCCGTAAGTGGTCCTGGTACCGTTACTGGCAATGGTATTATAACTAGTGGTGGTAGTGTTGGTGCTGGCATTAATGGTTCTGGTGGGGCTGTTGTATCCCTGGTGGATAGTAATCCTGGGAGTATTGGTGTTAGTGTGACCACTAGTGATAATCCAATGAGTGCTAAAGTTACTTCTACTTATAATGGGGAGGTGATATCAAATACTGATAGCATTGGAAGATCAGATAGAGCTGGGAATGTAAACGATAACGAAAATGGGAATGGAAATGAGAATCAATCAGGTACTCACAGTGCAGGTGGTTCTTCTCAGCCTTCAACTTTGTTAGACATGGTTTATAATAATTCGATTATTAACAGTGTCGTGGATTACTATGAAGGTAATACCAACAGTTCAGGGACTAAAAGAGCGGCCTCTTTGAATTCCGTAGGTGGCACAAGTACCAATAGTGATATAGACGCCACTATGACAGATGTGGGATCAGAAACTGAATACAAGGGTGCTATCGAGGCTAGTAACTATAACTTCGATAAGAGAACAACTAATGTTTGCGCAGGAAGAGTCTCGAAACGTCAAAAAATTACTGAGGCTTTGGCGAGAAGTAGAGATAATTTAAAACAATATAAACTAGGAATGTCAATTGAATCAAAGAAAAAAATTATCACTTGCCTACATCTATTGAAATTGGCAAATAAACAATTGACTGATAAAGTTTCATCGCTACAGAACGCTGTGCAACATGAAGAATTGATAGCTCGTAAAAAGAAAGATTCCAATTGCGACAGAAGAAAGAAGAAGAGATTGCCTTTAGATTCGGATGTTAAACAGGTAGAGTACAATCCACTAAGCATAAAAAATATCACACTACCAGAAGACTACGATGAGCTCGATAATCAAAAAAGAGAGACATCTATAGGACTAGATAACAATAAAGATGATGAGGATACGATAAGTGCACAAACGGATGATGAAGAAGAAGATGAAGAAGATGATGAATTTTTCGATGCGGTAGAAACGAATAATGAACAAAGTGCAGTTATCAAAATGGAAGTTGTCACCACTGTGAAAAAGGTATTTTCTGTAATATCGAAATTTGCTGGTGGTTCTTTACCAGAACCTGCACGGAGTCAAGTACGTAATTCTTTGTTAACACTACCTGAGAATTGGACTGCTACTGCTAATAATTCTACTCTAGGTGCTATTGATTGTACATGTTGCGATTCAGACTATTGCCTGTCTGCAAACTGTAAAGTATTAATCTTGGCAAAGGAATCACTAGATATGATGAAAAATGTAATGCATGTCCTAGATTCTTCATTGGGTAAGGCAGAGGAATGGATTAAACAAAGACAGGAGTGGAAAGAAGAGTTGAGAGAAAGATTGATGAGAAAGCAAGAATATTTTGCAGCACAAAGGTTGTTAAGAGATCAGAACAATAACAGAAACTAGTAACTCACTTTCGTCACCCTTAATTGATAATTTTTTGATGTTCACTTTACGCTAAGTTTTCTAAACATTAATTGGATCTCGCCTGTAATATTATTGATTTAGCAATGAAATGTCATGAGAATTAATTGAAATTACTGTTTATGTTTGTTTTTCCCAGTAATCAATTGAGCAATAAATAGTTATGTGTCCTATTAAACTGAAGCCACGCATATTGATATACATATAGATTAAATAGTAATGTAGAAAAAAAGTTAATATATTCACAATAAACGAAGTACGCTGTAATATTCTGTTGAAGGCTCGGAATATATATGGCAATCTTGGTGATAACTTAATATGCATACAACTGCCATTGCATTTTTAGTGTATCGTCATAATAATAATTAATCTTGGACACTATATAAAAGTGGTGGTTATGCCTCCTTTAGTATAACATGTTGTTTTTTTTAATCCTACCATAGCCAATGCACTATAAACCATATTTTTCTAGCCAGCCTTCTCAGATAGTTCCCATGAGAGTATGTGTAGCTAACATCACTATATCTTCTTATAAACTTTTGTCTTACTGGCGACTTCAATTCATGACTGATCGTAATAGAATGTGCTGACATTGGTCATGTGACTTTTTCTTATAAAGCCATATTATCATGTCTCACGAGTGTTTGTCCGAACCGAAAACTCTTCAAGGTATCTTGAAGTATAAAAGAAGAATATATATAGTAATATAACAAGTAACTATGTATAAAACTAAAAGAATGATCCAGTTATCTAGTAACAGAGTGACCACAATGAGCCAACGTAATCCTACAATCCAGTAGAATGTATATATATGAATCAAGATAGCAATCATACATGTATAAAATAGTTGCTATGGTGAGGTTGAATGTGTGGTGTTATGCTTTTTTTATTCTCTATTTGACTATTACTGTCATTATTTGTTGTAAATCGAATAGTAGTACTTTTATACTCCACAATAACTAAACCTTTTTACACGTGAAATACACATGATTAGCTCCTATTATCACATTGCTTCCACCTCCATCGCATTTCAAAACTCTCAACAAGTTATTATCCGATATAGTGTAACGGCTATCACATCACGCTTTCACCGTGGAGACCGGGGTTCGACTCCCCGTATCGGAGTATTTTCTTTTTTTAATACATTTTCATTTTTTAGTTTTTCTTCCCACTAAATAGCAACTATCAACCACGTGATATCATTCAGCACGTCCATACATATAAATACACAGATACATACCCACTCACAATCACTCACTATCTCCTAATCACTTCTGCATTGTCTTCTCAACCAAACAAAAAATCCAGATTTAAAGCATCACTATGGAAAAGAAAATTAATTAATGAAGAAATTCAAAGAATATCGATTGCCAAATGAGAATTGAACTGAACCGAACCGAACTGAACTGGATTCGATTCAAAATTTACAGATTCACTCATGGATACAATTCTTATTTTAAATAAAAGTATATCTTGTCTTGCTGATTACTTTTCCATATAAAACAATTGTTACACTCTTGGAACAGTATCTCTCTTTTGTCTCTAATCAGCAGCAATACAATTGAGTAGATAAGATAAGATACCTTTTTGTCTAATCTTTTCCATTGGTTCTCATACATTTATTCTCTCACACAGATATGTCTGAAACCGGAAAGAATTCAACTGCAGAATTATCTGCTGTTAAGGTAACTGTAAAGTTACCTGAATCAATTGTTCACCATCGTTCTCACCAAAAGAAGCAACAGTCTCACAATGTAAAGGAAACTAATGAGCTATCCTTCCAATTCCCAAGAGAAACAAGAGTCCAAACTATATTAGACGTCTTGAGTTATGCTCAAGCAACTAAATATTTAACTAATTTCAAATTGAAAACTGTTCATCAAATTTTGAACCCTGAACAATCAATTAATGAAATTATTAATGATGAGAAAAGTAATCATTTAAACTTATCCATCGAACTATGTCCTTATAATACAAGAGAAATTGTAAGACATGTTTTGACTTTGAGAGATTTCATCGGTTTTGCTTTAGAAACTGAAGATGGTATCTCTGAATTCAGCATCTCTACTGGTTCAAAATTCTCAAATATACCATTCATGGATGTTAAAGAAAAACAAGAAGAAATTGAAGAGATTCCAAGAGATGATAATAAAAATTTACCAAAGAAAAATGTCTTGAAGGTTTCTCAAGAAGAAAAGGATAATTTCTCAAAGGAAGTTCATTCAATCTTAGATTCCTTCAAATATTCAAATTCAAATTTGAAATCTGCTTATTCAACAATTTCAAATATTGTCACACCTTGTTTAAATTCTTTGAATTTATCAGCTTTTAATCCTGTTCCAGCTTTCTTTAAGACAAAGGGTCACATCTTATACTTACATATCGTTACTTTAGAAGGTGAATCTTTCCATGTAACCGCTGTACCATCAGGTTTCTATATTAATAAATCTTCTTCAAATAAATTCGATCCTTCTATGAAAGATGTTGAAGGTATCACTCAACAGGATTCCATTAAATATAATCTATACGATTTAATTGCCTTACACTCGAAAAAATTCCATTCTCATGTTGAAGCTTTGGAAAAGAAATTGGCCGCTTACCAATCAATTGAATATGTTAAACCTTTGACCACCTTCTTACACAAACCATGGTTAGTTTCTTCTTTACCTGCTAATAACGCTGATTATTCAAGAATGCAATTGGATTCTTCCCAATATGAATCTGAAAGAAATTTCAATGATGAATTCCAAGCTATTAGAGAATTACCAACTCCAACTGTACAAGAAAGTATTCAATCTGAAAGATTATTGAGTAGAATATCACATGAATTCACTACTGCAGCAGTTAAAGGCGCCATGTCAATCTTTTATGGTGAAATGCTTCCTTTGAACCCAGAATCTGATGACCAAATCTTCTTGAGAGATAACATCTTCTACTCTTACGTCATGGATGCAAATGGTTCTTACGATGGTAAAGGTGGTAATGATGCCGCTTTTGCTGCTTCAAATCAAGATTTGAAGACTATCCAAATTTTGAAAAATTTGAAAATGAAAGATGTCTATTACTTGTTAACTACCATCATTGACTTTGGTGGTAAAAGAATATTGGCTCAAACTCCTGTTCCAGGTTTATTATCAAACATGGGTGCCGATGTCATTACAGATGCTGATTCCGGTGAACAAATGATTGTTGATAAGAAGAGTGAAGTTTCAGTTGTTTACGGCTTAGATGAAGAATCAGGCAAAGTCTTAGCCAACGATCAATTTGACAAGTCAGTCAGTGAAGAATTCTCAAAGTACTTACACTTAAAATCTCATGATGTTGAAGGTTCAAAGATTTCTTTCTCCTATCAATCCAAAGGTATCCTAGGTTCTGACAAAAGAAACTATATCATTGATTTAGCAAACACATATCCATTGGATGTTAAATTTGCTAAAGAACATTTTGATAATGCTGAAGAATCAAAACGTTACCCACATAGACAAACATTATTACGTCCTGAATTAGTAGAAAAATGGTGGAATTCAAAAGTTCAAGCTGAAGGTATCGAGATTAACAAAGCTTACGATGAAGCCAAGTTTACTTACAATCCAGATGCTTACCAAGTTGAAGGTGTCGAAGATGTCAACATCCAAGATATGTCTTCATATTTGGTTGAGACTGTCTTGCCAAGTGTTATTGAAGATTACGCTACCGGTAATGTAAGTGTTCCATACGATGGTGAACATTTAGTCGATACCTTACATATTAACGGTATTAACGTGCGTTACTTGGGTAAATTAGCAATTTTAGCTAAAGAAAAACTACAATTGCAAGAAGAAGTTCATGAAAAGAGATTAAAGGAAATTGAAATCTCAAATAAGGACTACGAAGAATGGGAAGCATCTTATTTAAAGAAGATTGAAAAAATGATTATTGAGAGACAAGAAAAGGTGAACAAATTAGTTCAAGAAGGTAAAGAAGTTCCAAAAGAATTGACTGAAGAATTAAAATTGAATGAAGATGATATCAGAAAGCCAACTGATGATGCACCAGCTGTTGTTAACACTGATGAATTATTGCCTTTGATTAAAGTCACTGAAATTGAAATTTTTGCTCGTACCATGAAACATATTTTGAGAAAGTACACTAAAGACTTACCTGTAGTTGCTATCCCATCAATGATTGCATTTGTCTTAAACTTGTTGTTCGGTCAAAAATATAATGAAGTACCAAAACCAGAATCAGTTGATTCCTTCTATGATGTTGATACTTATGAATTCAGTAAATTGACTCGTGATGGATTAATTAAAGAGATTCAACTAGTCTCTGAATTACGTTTCCGCTATGAATTGGCTGCTGATTTTGTCGACCAATTCAGCGATGCTCCATTCATCTTGATTAGATCAATTGCAAGAAAATCAGGTATACAATTTTTGAACAAAGATTACTTCTTCACCAAGGATCAATTTGAAGAGTTCAAATTATCACAAGATAAGAAGGTTAGAGGTAAATTAGTCGCTCCAGCCAATACATTTACCGTCTCAGATTTGAATATGATTCCTCGTATCAAGGATATTGACTACTCTTCAGTTTTAAGTGACCAAAAATGGGCAGAAGGTTCAATGTTATTGAATGAAGATCAAAACGCTGCATTGACTCTGTTTGCCCAAGCTATTGCTATCAAGGAGGAAGTCAATGGTGTATTGCACAAAGATGTCGCTGAAAAATACTTGACCTTATCTACTGTTTATAGTAAATTAGGTCTAACTCCTGAAGCAGTTGCTTTCTGCCGTAAATCATGTGCAATCTACGAAAGAGTTTCTGGTATTGATTCATTTGAAATGTTAAGATCTTTATCGAACCTGGCTTTACTAGAATTTGCAAATGAATCTCCATACAACTCGGCTTTGGTTTTCAAAAGAATTGTTGAAACTTTAGAATCATTGAAGATCACCGAAAAGATCCATCATCCAGCTGCTTTGAATGCATTCAATCAACTTGAACAGATGTCATTAGGTGTTGAAAACACCAAGTTGACAGTTGAGCTATGTAAGCAATTCAGAAGTTTGATTGTATCCTTAGATGGTAATGATACTTTAGCCTATGCCACTTTGGAATCTCGTATCGGTAACTTGTATGCCTCCATCAATGATTTCCACAATGCCATGGAACATATCTCTAAAACACCAAGAATTTTCACTAGAGAGTTGGGTACTAATCATCAAATTACTGCACAATCCAGACAATGGGTTAACGGTTTGTCTAACTTGATGAAAGATGCCCAACAGAAGAAGAAATTGGCAGCCGAACAAGCTTCAGTAAACTCTGGTTCTCGTAAGAAGAATGTTAACCAAAAGGCTGATGCTCCTAAGGCAGAATTAGCTGAAAAATCTGTTGATGAATTATTAGATTTTATTGAAGGCGGTTCAACTGAGAAATCAAAAAAGAAGTCTAGCAAGAAAAAAGGTAAGAAATAAACAATAATCTAAATTAATCCAAAAAATTGCATAACTTTATTTTTTTTATTAATACTATGATTGTTTCTTTCTCACCATACTAAAACATTTCTTACTTCATCATAGACACTTTGTAACGATAATCTGTCTTGTAGATATCATATAGTATTTTTTATCTAGTTATATTAAATAAACCAAATTTTAATGTATAGCAAGTTATTAACAAACAAACTTATATAGATGAATCAATGTATACTCAAAGTTTAATCAAATTCAACATTATACATTACCCATTGTTTCATATGTCACTGTATTGTATTGTCTTAGTTTGATTATTATGGTTTTAACTTTATTACTTTGTTTGTTCTGACGTCGCTATCAAATATTTAAGTTAAGCATGAAAAATTTTAAAGCTCATCTCATCTCAAGATTTTAAAAAGGTATTAACGAGAGGTATTATATTCAATACTGTATTTGTATCGTTATAGAATAGTCATATGAGGACAATCGATCATTAAGGATGCCAAAGGATAATTTGCTGTTTAAATTGGACAATCTAGAATATCAATATTACTATTTGAAAGGAACTCTAGATAACTTCACACCACGTTTGAATAGCACTACAAAATTATATAATGCTAAAGGTAAAAAGAGCGCAAAGAAAGTAGAGAAGGTTCTAGCAGAAATCACATTACCAGAAGTAGAATCAGGACTATTGGAATTACGTTTAGAGATATTCAATAATAAATTATATCATCTGGAAAAAAATTTACAAACATTTCTATTAAAACATATATTAGAATATGAAAAGAAAGTATTGAAGGAAGAAAATAATAAGAATGCAAAGAAGAAGAACCACAATACTAGTGAGGTTATTGAAGAAATTAAGAAAACCTATGGATTTGAAGAATTTATTAACTTTATAATAAAATCAAAATGTATTAAACTTGCTTCCAGTAAGATAATCCCAACTAAACATCATCAAACTCTACCTCAAAATAAATGGTTTATAGATCATGAATACTATAAAATTATCAATGATAAGGGACATAAGTATAATCCAGGTAGAATTTGGAGTGAAGTTGTTATGGGTACAAAACACTCAGATCAAATCGTCAGTTCATTATTAAATAACAAGAAATGCAAAGAATTATTCCAACAATTTGAAAATGGTATGGATGTATTTTTAGCAATCAATAAGGATAAGAAGAAATTAAATAATACAAAACAGACAGATTCGGATGGTGATGGGAACTTGGATTCAAGTAATGGCATTAATAAGAAGAAAACTGATGATGATTCTACGATAGAATCATCAGAATCTGAAGATGAAATGTCAAATCAAGATGTTGAATTGAATGATGATGACATTTCAAATATTATGAAACAGTACGAAGGTGTTATTGTGGATTCTGAAAATGAAAGCTCGAATGAGGATTTTGTAGCTGATCCAAATATTGATTATAATCAAGTTACTGATGAAGAAATGTCATCCAATGAGAATTATGAAGACGAAGAAGATGACGAAGATTCTAGTGATGATGAGCAACCTCAAAAGAAAAAACAAAAGGTCCAATTACCAGAATTAATGGGTGGTTACTATAGTGGTGAAGAAGAATCTGATTTTGAAGAGGACAATATAGCCAAACAGCAAAAATCTAATAAAGAGAAAAAGAAGAATAGACGTGGTCAAAGAGCTAGAAGAAAGATATGGGAACAGAAATATGGTAAGGAAGCTAAACATGTTCAAAGGGAGTTGGAAAAGGAAAGAGAAGAAAGGAAACAAAGACAAATAGATTATGAAGCAAGAGTTGCTAAAAGAGAAGCTAAAGCTAGAGAATTGGCTGTCTCTGGTACTAATTTGATTGAAGTTGGTGAAAGAAAGGCTTCAAAGCCTGTTGAAAAGAAAGAACCTAATGAAGACCATCCTTCATGGGTAGCAAAGAAACTTGCAGAAGAAAAATTAAAGAATGCTAAATTTACTGGTAAGAAGATTACATTTGATTAAGGAACTTTGCATGAAAATATATTAACAATTATATGTATTATAGTCATTTATTATTCGATATTTACATTTTGGTCATTTTGATAAAATATAAAAATATTACAATTGATAAAGTCAGAAAGTATCTCTATATAAATATCTAATGTATAGAGACTGTTATGATGCTTGAATATACTAAGTTGGGCGTTTATTTAAAGGTGTCGGAGTATCCAACGGATTAGATATTGGAAGATCTGGCTTCTTTAAATAACTTTCTTTTTGGTGCTGATGATGATATTGGCTATTTTGTTGCTTATTTGAGATATTGTGATTGTTATGGCTTTGACTATGACTCGTGTGTCTGTTATGACACTCTAGACAATACTCTGGGGATTCATTATTAGATCTCGATAGTGGAGGAGAAATATCAAAATTATTGAAATTTTGTTGGGCATTAGATGGATTTTGTAAGTTTAATTTATCCATTAATTCCAGTAGTTCTTGATTTAGGGATATTTTTCTTAATTCGTTTTCCCTTTTTATCAATAATTTTCTCTTTAGAGAATCTATTTGGTCTTCCAGATTTTTCAATTCTACACTTTCTTTAACCATAATATCTTCATCGGAAGGACCTTTACTGAAGAATAAATTAGGCTGTGATGTTACAGGAGGTGTTGTGGATTTATTAGAAGTGGTAGATTGAGAAGATTTCTCCTCCAGTACCAAGTTTGTTAATTTGTCCAGTTTATCATTTAATTTATTTATTTTTTCATCAACAGGATGTGAATTTTTTAAAATTGTTGGAGTCGACATTGAATCAGGAGACGTGCCTAAAGTAACTGATCGTTTTTTGGGTACCTGTATATAATCATTTACATCTTCTGTAATACTATTATTAATTATCTCGCTGTTTTGAAAATTTTGTAGATCAGAATTCAATTTTTTATTTAATTCCGTATACTTAATCAACTTTGCCCTTAGAGAACCCACTAATGAATTCAGTCTATTTATTTCATCTTGTTTTGAATTTAGTTTATTGTTCAATTCTTTATTTTGCTTAATCAATCTGTTGATCATCTGTGAGTTCAAACGATACTCCTCTGGTACTATCTTTTCAGTAGGAACGTTGCCTATATTTCTTGGACCACCAAGATGTCCAATGCCACCACCTTGATTCATATTATCATTATATAATGGATCTGAATACATTGAAGGGATATTATTTTCATTTCTATTAGACCTAGCAGAGCTGTATCTTTTAGGTGTAGGTGATATATTCATGATACTATCGAATTATTTAATAATGACCTAAAGATATGTTATCTCTTCAAAAAAAAAAATGAAAAAGGAGGAAAATCGGTGCACTTGTAATATCTTAAATAACGTTAGCTCAGAAGAAGTAGTCCCAGTTGATCTCAATTGTTGTGATTCCTTCAAAATAAATATATCTATCTATTGTATATTTATATTTTTTGTGTATCTGTTAATCAATCAGTATAACACTTGTTTTGAAATTCTATAATAAATAAAATCCCGATAGAACAGAGCTAATAATAAAAATCTAATGTACACTCACTAAAAATATGTTGTCCTCCTGATAGTAATCCCTATCCAAATGCAAATCTGAACGTACAATATCTCTTGCAATTGACACTTTATTTCAATAATCTGATAGTGTTTTTGTAAGTTTAATTCAATAAGTATCAAGAAATATCAAATTTTAAAAAAAGCACGCGTCTTCATTAAAATAAAATATTACATAGTTAAATATGGTGATGATACGCGTAAACTATCAGATGTACCAAGAATCGATGAGATGATCATAAACTATAACTGTATACTTTTAATTCATTCAAACAAGTTATTTTTATGGGTTTGGGAGGGTTGGTGGCTATTGTACATGATGTTGGATTCGTTAGTCGTCGAAAATACTGGTGGTAAAATTATAGAATTTCCATATGTATGCACGTACTTATATTTAGAAGGTGTCATTAAATGACATGAGTTATATAGATGACAGTATAATAAAAAGAAGGTAATTTCTTTGTAAAATTGCACTTATGCACTTATGAGGCCATGCAATGTAGGGAATCGGTTGCTTGTTCGGTGAATAGTGTGTTCAGTGTGTCCTCGAGACGCGGTATGTCTGTGAGTACATGCAGAACTAGATATTTAGTTAGATATTATCATTAATTTTATAATATTGACGAATTGTATAATCAATTAGATTATTAATATTTTATATTTTAACATATATAACAAAAACAAGGATATTATAAAAGCACATTAAATGGATCCCAAATGCATTTAATGTCCAATTAAAAGTAATTTGAAATAAATAAAAACCAGAATTTAAAAAAAAAAAAAGTGTAGTAGTCCCTTTCGATAGATGATAGTAAGATTTTATCTTGAATGAATATATTTTTTATTTTATAATAGTTGAAACCTTTTTTTTTCTTAATTTTAATTTTGGTTGGTGAAGTAATATTGGTTAACGTTTGGGTTAAAATAGGTTACTGGATGTTGATTTAAAGTACTTTGAATATCCTTGACGAAAAGAGGGTATAATTTATCGATAATCTTTTCCTTTTTGGCCATTAACAATGCTCTTTCGAATGGGATCCAGACACCTTTCAAATTCATTGAACCCACTTTCACTACATGTCTTATCTTTTCAGCCTTTAGTATACCGTCTCTTCTACCACGAGTCATTTTAGTAACATTCAATAATTTAGTACCATTAATCATGTCATTATCTGCTCTTCTTACTACCGACACACCATTTACTTCAACTTGATAACATAAAGTATTTTCATCCTGCCAGACAGTAGTTGTCACCAAAGGTTCGTTCCAGCGACGTTGATAATAAGTAGGTGATGGTGTATAATGTTCATTGAATTGGAAGTTTGATGACAATAAAGATGGGTTGTTTAAGAAAAAGTCTGTTGAGTAACGTGAGTTGTTGTTGTTGTTATTGTTGCTGCTGCTACTGCTGGTGGTGGTGTTTCCACTGCTGGTTAGGTGAGAAAGTTCAGTAATACTGTTGCTCCTGTACATATTTTCACTTGAAAGATATTGTAATTGCTG